TTTTGTATTTTAGTGACTGGAAAACCTGCTCAGATACCCGAGGGGCAAACAAGACAGAGAAAACCGGGAATGAACCCAGAATAAACTGCCCTGAAACCCGAAAGGGGGATGGAAAGGAGGAAAGTAAAAGACAGGAAAGCAAATAAATTAAAACATGTTATAACTCTTTATCTCTTCTGTCGGTCAACGTGACTAGTTAGCTCAAAGAGAACCCGAAACCGGGCTAGCTAAAATGAAGACTGTCCGAGATAAAGTCGGTTATAGCAAGTAAAGTGTTCACCATAAGATTATGAGATGACTGAATCTGGCATAGCCGGTTAGACATCTCCTCATAAGCTTACATGAACGAAATTAAATGCAGAAATTTAAAGACATAAAAATAAACACAAAAGTCCGGTAGCAAGATATCATTATCTGCCATTAACCTTTGTCCTCTTTTGATACAGCCGTTTATGACGTAAGTGCTTACGTCATGAGAAGCTCAGCAAAAGGCAAAACTATTGATAATATTATTAGCATAGGAATAAGAAACATAAATATAAATAAAAATTATATTTTTATATTTAGACATTTTTTGATAAGTGGTATTGTTTAGGTATGTAACTGTATTAAAAAAATCTGCAGTGATATGTACGGTCTCTGAATATTTTTAATTTCAGATCAATTTTATATTTTTTCATTAAGCATTCAATTGTTATTACTATTTTTCCTTTTTGTGGTAGTTAGTAAGAATAATATTTCTAAAATTATGTTTGTACAATTACAAGGTTGTAGAATGTAATTTTATTGTCTCCCATCTCGAATATAAGAAAAAAAAATCTCATATTTTATCATAAAATCTATAAAATACGGTTTTAATATAGATTTTACTATAATATAATATGATTTTTGTTAAGTCTTGATATCAAATTACAATGTAAAATAATTAAAATAATACATTTCTTAGTCAGTTTTTTTACCGTACAATTCTTAACGAGATTGATCCAATAGAATGATATTGATAAATAGTTTAATTAATAAAAAATAAATACAGTTTTCTTATGTTCAAGTTTTATATCTTAAGACAGTGCCATTTAAAAAAAAAAAACTTACTTACTATATTAATAAAATTTTAAACTTATTTTTTATTCTTATTATTTATTATTTTTAATTTAATATGTAGAGTTTTTTTTTAAGAATTATTATTCATCGATTTAAAAGGTTCTACAGATTATTTAAAAATCAAGAAAAGGAAGAGAACATGTAAGCATCAAAGTAATGGAAGATGAAAAGATGAGAGTTTGATAGAGAAAAAAGATAATGAAATTATGGTGGGTTGGTGGTCCATGTTGAGATGGCTGCGAGGTATGTGATTTTTCTTATATGGTTTGAACAATGATGAGTAACAGTGTTTCTACGAGAATCATGTGACTACTCCAAACTCCAGAGACTATTATGGAGGGTCAATAAGCATCTAAACCAGGGTGAAGAATGAATGAGGTTAAGCAATAAAAGACATCTTCTATGTCTACCAAACAGCCTTCATCATTTCTAAGAAAGTTCTCAGACAGACATATAAATCTTTCATAATAAATCAAGAACATGTTTTTCAAGAAATCCAAATGGTCGTATTTGCTACAGAGATATAGTCATTTTGGATACTACCTCCAAACAATCTTGTTATCTCTTTCAAAACGAGGGAGAAGAACACCAATTGGTTTTTGTCAAATATGTTCAAGTACTTAGGGGAATCTAAATAGTTTCCATGATATCTGCTGTATACTGATTAAGCAGTTGCTGTTATATTGCCAACAAAGGATAAGCCTTTCACTTTCCAACAGTAAACTTCTTTTTTAACTGTCAAATACAAAAGAAAACTATCCATTATTCTAATTGCTTTCTGCTGGCTCACATCATTGGAGAACAGAACTTCATACATATTAAGGCAACCTAACTCTATGACCAGAGGATGAACAAAAATGGTAAAGAATGTTGTTAATGACTTATGCTTGTTGGTTGATGCCTACCCCACAAGGATAATGTTACCAGTAAAAAGAAGCAAATGGGTTAAATTTGGACCACACTTACCAATTCTTAAAGGACACCAATCATTAGGGGCAACCCCATCTTCCATATATTAGCTTAATCTTTCCATGCTAGCTCAGACAAAATAGAGTGATTTATGATCAATTCATCCCCTTATCTAATTCCATTTGAGGAGCAGGATTTTGTTGAGAGAGATGGAACCAATTTAATTTATGACCATAATAACATAGCTGGTGCATTGGTTAATATAATCTATAAGGTTTCCATCAAACCCCACTAAAACAGGGTTTTAGAACCCGAAATTAAAAGAATGGATAATGCATTTATTACTAGGGTAAATTTTTTTTTCTAAAAAGTGAGTGTTTACACATTAATTCTAAAAAAATCTATAAAGGTATTTTATTTATATTTTAATTTATTAAACCTAAGAAGATAATGTAAGTAACATGTTAATAATTAGACTATATGTTAAAAGATTACAATGACAAAAAATAATTAAATTTTGAAATTTATTTTAATTTTTTTGTTCTAAGATGTGGTGGTGATAGGTTTTAGAATATTATAATATGTTTTATCTTTTTTTATTATTATTATTATTTTAACGATGTATCATGGTCAATTATAGGTTTTTTTTGTGTATTATTGTAAATAATAAAATGATAATTATAATCTTGGTAATACTAATATTACACGAAGATGTATTGATGATGTAAAAACGCATGCTTGATTGGTTTACATTAAAATATAGCTGCCGACAAGAAGAAACGTTGGGCCTACCACTTACTTTTTAATAAATGGCGAGTTAGTGTCCACGTGGCGCGTATCCAAGTTTGCTTTCTTAGTTCCTTTAACGGCGACGATTTTCCGCGACACCACCGATACGTCAATGCTGCATTCTGATATTTTTAATCAGAAGTTCTGGCACTGTTTGAAATGACGTCCTTGCCCTTGTAACGACTTAGCATATCTTACCGAAACGTGAATCCGACGGTGAAGTCATCTTTGTTCCTAATTGTACGGTCCAGATCCTCCATCTTTTACTATAATATATTTGGTTTTGGGATGACAGTCTAGTACAATTCTTGGTATTGACAAAAAGTGTGCGTAAAATCTAATTAAATTCAAAATATTCAATTTCACACTATATTCTTTCAAATATATTTTCTTTACTAGAAAAGTTACTAAGATGTAAGTATATGGTTTATTCACACGATTTAGTATGATTTAAATAACTTTTATTTCCTTCAAATGGTTGCAATTTGTTTTCATTTGTTTAAAATTTTAAAATGATTTTTCAATGTTTTAAATATAAAATGACATTCTTTTAGTCTTTTATCAAAAATTAAATATCACAGAATAAAAATTAAAAATTGAATTATTTTTAAATTACAAAAATTAAAATAAATCATTATTTAATTTAAAAATAACCTTTATCAAATTCAAAAGACTAAAAAAATATATTTTTTACTCGTAGTAATACAGCTGCAATAGACATAGTGTTTTGTATCATTCAATTAAACCCATTAGGATTTAATAAGATTTTAAAGTGTTGCGCCATTATTTTCACCAGCAACGACTATTTTGTTACTGAGTATGCATGAACTTTATATGTGTTAATAAAATGCATGTATTAAATAAAACTTCATAGTTATTTTATTTTTGTAAGCAATGAAATTCGAGTCTAATAATAGTATATATGTCTAGTAGAAATCGAGACTGTGTGAGATATAAAACAAGTTTGGATTACGTGGTTTAGATGTAATATTTTAAAAGTATTTATTTTAAAATATTTAAAAAAAAAATGAAACGTTAGACAACCTTCCCTCTTTTTTTAAATAAATTTAAATTCAATAATAATAATAATAATAATAAGTGAAAATTTAAATTGAATAAAATTAAGCTGGTAAAAAAATATAAATAATTTGTATTTGTAGTATAATCAATAATTGTATGTTTGATTCTCTTGTCTCAAAAGTCAGTGATCTTTTTATAACAAGAAAGAGTTTAATGGAAAGTAAGTGCAAAGAGTTGTGTATGGAAATAGTTACAACTTTAAGAGGATTAAATTTAAATTTAATAAATTTAGGATGCATGTATTAAAAGATTTGCATTTAAATTATAAACTATTTTTTTTATAATGATATGGCCATTAAATTTAAAATAGGCAAATTAAGATATGGAATATATGACATAATATATAGGTTTATGAGTAAAAAAAATGATTATCACCACTTAAAAGTGAGACTAAAAATGGAGAGATCTATTTATGAAAAGAAAATAAAGTGGTTAAATGTGGAGATTTGAGATAACAAGAGTGGTAAAAAACTTAAGAATTCCATAATTGGCATCTACTTTTTCAGGCTAATTAATTTTTTTGTTAAGAATCCAAATTTGTAGTAGTGGTTGCAGTGCACGCGCCGTAGTGACAGTAATAAATCTTGGTTCACGTAGACGTGTTATGGAAGTGCCACGTGGAGGTAATATGGTACAGAGATTTAATGTTCGTACACGCGCGTAAGAACCTTACTTTAATATTACTGTATTAACATTATTATTATTATTATTATTAACTTGTCGGGTTTCACATTCAAAGATCCGAAATGTTCCGAAGATTGCAGAACCACAGCCAGGAACTCTAATCTAATTTGACGCCAACTTTCATCCAATTGGAATATTATTAAATTCTTTTTACGATTTCACATTTGATTCTTCTAAATTTTACCTGCGATCCTCTCTTTGGACCTTTGTTTTCTTTTGGTTTTAATAATTTTATTTTTTCCGGGGAAATTTTTGTTTATTTTATTGTTTTTAGTCTTTGGTCAATTTTCACTGTCTCCTCCTGATGATCATTTTACCATGTGGGGTGAGTTAATTTGAGAGTGTTGTGCGCTGATTTCTTCTTAAAGGCTCAAAGGGTCTTCTGGGTTTGATCGAACAACCAAAAGAGTCTTCTGTTATCATTTCAACGCTACCCGATGCCAGAAAACAGGCAGGTTCCAAGGAATGCTGATTCTACACCTTCTGGTGACAACATTGAAGGTGGTGCAGATTTTTCTGGTGATTCATTTTCCTTGGTTTGTGTGTCAAGATTCGTGCTTTAAATGGTCCTGATCATCCTTTAATCATAATGGCTTTCTATTGTTTTGCTAGGGAATGTTAGGTGCTAGATTGTCTTTACTCAACGATTTTGTTTCATTTATGATATCATGAATTTCTTTTTATGGTACAATAGTTTTGATTTGGAGAATTCTGACGATTCACACAATGTATTGTAAGAGACCTTTGAGGATTTTCTAAAACATGGCGTAGTTTCTCATTTTGTGTTTTCTTTCCTAAGCTAAGGTATTACGCTTATCAGACATGGGTTTACGTAATTGTTGAACTTTTTCTAACGATGCAACAAAGGATCGCCTACATGTTTTGATCTTAAAATCTTTTAGGCAACGCTAGTGTGCTTGAGGTGAAAATGTTGGTTATTGCTTAAATTTCTTTAAATGGGGGTCTGGGTAGACTTTGCCTGATTCCTGACTGATCTGTATCGTAGAAGCTATTCGTCGTTTGAAAATCAATGATAATTGGGATAGAGATGCTGCAGCTCAATCTACCCAATATCCAGATCGACCAGGTGAACCTGATTGTTTGTATTATTTGAGGACTGGAATGTGTGGTTATGGGAGTAACTGTCGCTACCATCACCCTGCTCATATTTCAATTGTAAGAGCTCTTTCTTTTATTTCCTTTTTATTCACTGTCTTCCGAATATATATATGAAGCAACCCTTTTGCCAAATATTTGACAGAAGATGTAGTTTGTGTGATTGTAAAATTTTAGCTCCTATTGCAAATCTTCAATCTTCTTCTCACTTTTATCCCATGCAAAAAATAGAAGTTTCTCATACTTAATTAGACATTCAGGGTACTCATTATGGAGAAGAACTCCCTCAGAGGACCGGCCAACCTGATTGTGAGGTATGTTTATGTTGATGACTTAAAATGTATCTGTTTTGCAACTTTTTCTTGTGTTGAATTTGTTAGGGATGTAATTTAAAACCATTTTTGTGTCTTTACCTAACAACTTAAACTTTGGGATAGTTGTTGATTGGTAAGTCATAACAGAAACTGATTGTGGATGTGTTTTATGTAAGAACATTACAGTGAAATCGAACCAACTATGAGGTTCGTTTTGTAATAAAAAATAAAATATCTTGCCTCTGTAGAAAACTCCATAATAAGTTTTAGTGATATGCGTTTCATGTTTTGCGATGTCCCTCTGGCAAGAAACTTTACTTGCTTTTTTGCATTTATGTTTGTCCTTCTTGTGTGGTCCCTTTTAATAATAGATCTGGTCTGTTTGAAATGTTTAGCGTCGTGATTACTGGTGCACTGATAACAAACCAATAAATGAAGGAAAATAAAATGTCAAACTGAAGTAGGGATACCTAATAAACTGGACAAAAAATAGAGTAGTTATGCTGTCAGTGTAACGTCTACCATTTTGTTTTCTATTGATGATTTGTTTAATTTTTAGTGGTCATATTATGTGGTTTTTGTCCTATAGATCTTATTTACCGGATTTCATTATGATGATGACAAAAGTTTATCTGATGCCAGCTATGGCATACTTGAACTAGGAAAGGAATAAATGGATGAACTTAAGTTACACATATATTATACTATAAATATCGGGTTCAGGAACCCTAGTATAATCTAAAGAATTTTGCTACATAATCCATTTCAATGGGAGATTTATTATTCTATTCCCGTGCTTCTCAATTTGATTAACTTGTTTGAGATGTGAATTGCAGTATTTTCTTAAGACAGGAACATGCAAGTATGGATCAACATGTAAATATCATCATCCAAAGGACAGGCGCGGTGCTGCTCCTGTCTCGTTCAATACTTTAGGTCTTCCAATGCGTCAGGTTTGTGCATTCCTTTGCACTTTCAGCATTTTTATAATGGATTAACGCTCATTTGTTGATGAAAGAATCCGTTGGAATTTTTTCAAACATTCTTTGATTATTTATTTTTTAGGAAGAAAAATCATGTCCCTATTACATGAGAACCGGGTCTTGTAAGTTTGGGGTTGCATGCAAGTTTCATCATCCACAACATGCTTCCCTTGGAGCATATCCCTTGGCTGGATCACCTACCTCAACAATTATTCCTACATCAGGTTTACCATATGCTGGAGGGTTTCCTGCATGGTCAGCATTACCAAGAATGTCATATTTAGCTGGGCAAGGCGTTCAATCTTATGTACCTCCTTTTCTGTCTTCTTCACAAGGCATTATACCCGTGCAGAGCTGGAACAACTACATGGTTAGTTAAGGATCTTGAATGTCCTGTTTATTTGCCCTGTTCTTTGTTTCCACTCAGTGGTTATCCTGTCATTGAATTTGACCTGTGGTAGTATTTCTCTGCATGAATGATTGATTGTAAGGGTTATTCAGGTTTGCAAATTGTTTTGGGAAAAAAAAGACGGAATTCGATATTATTATCTTCTCCTATGCTTTCTTACTGAAATTTTACTCTCATACATAATAGTTTTGGAGCTGCATGAAGCGTTAGACAATAGCTTTTTACATAAGAGTTTCTGATTGATATGTCTAGATACATCAATGCATGTGGATTATAATTTGTCGGTACCATGTTTTAATTCCAAATGTCTGACTGATATGTCTAGATACAAAAATACATACGGTTATTCGATACACTTTCCTTCTATTTTATTATATTGATTGCCAAGCACATTTGGCATCCATATACCTGTTAGTATCTGAAAGAAAATGTGCCCTGTTCTTAAGGAAATATTTGGAGTGCATCTCACCTTTTAATGACAACTATTGATGTTGGGTTTTGGTTACTACATAGAAGGAGCACACACTTAATGGCACTATCTGCACATTGAATTAAAAAAATCTTGTGATTTGACGGACTTTGTTTCTCAAAATAGGGAAGTATGAACCCAGCAATGCATACAGGTTATCTTGGATCTAATCTTGTTTATGACTTCATGAATCTGGGCGAGTCACTTTTTGGTGGGCAGGCGATAAATTCAGCTCTCCCAAATAGACCTGATCAACCAGAATGTAGATACTTTATGAGCACTGGGACCTGCAAATATGGATCTGATTGCAAGTTCCACCACCCAAAGGAAAGAATATCTCAATCATTAATAAATCCACTTGGCCTTCCTGTGAGACCTGTAAGTTCAGCTTCGGCCGATGCCTAGTTACCTTAAAAGTTGTCTTAATACTAATACTGTCAACCATCAAAAACCATCTCTTTTAAAGTAATAATTATAAAAGTTAACAAACTTACTATGATAATAGTTTGTGATTGCATGATAGTAGAAAATATCAGAGCATGTACTATTTATGGATAAACAATTTTCTTGATATTGTCCTCCCTAATTTCCTAAGAAGTTATTTTCATAGTCTATATTAGCTTCCAAATATGTATTTTTTAGTATTTAGCTTCCTGATTCGAATGTTGGGTTTTCTACAGGGGCAAGCTGTCTGCTCTTATTACAGAATCTATGGAATGTGCAAATTCGGTCCAACTTGCAAATTTGATCATCCAGTATTGACTATCCCTCAGAACTATGGCTTGACCTCACCTACTCTATCTGTACTTGATGCTCCTCTCATTAGTAACCAAAGAGGGTTATCAAGTGTACAACCACCCGAGACATCTCCTTCTAAATTATCAAGTGACAACAAGCTTCAACACTCTGATGCAAAAGCTGCCACAGAAGATTCATCCAAACAAGCTGATACTACATCAAATTCCTTACCCGCCTCCTCAGAGCCTTTACATGACTAAACTACTTCAAGTTTGATTTTCTTTGGGACAATTTATTTTTTTCCCCACATTTTCAGGAGAAGTATATTATACATACCATCTATTCCCCCTTTTCACCTGCAATTCTGTTGAGTTGGATAGTTTGTTCAGAGGTTGTTGTGACAACCACCAGCTTGTGGGGAATGGAAGGCATTTTTTGTGGTGAATAAAATGCAGGTAGAAAGTTTATGACCCTTCATTTTCTCCCTTTCTCTACTGAGGTCGGTTTGATATAACACTTAAAAATGCTAAATGAAAAAAACTCAAGGATGCACGGAGAACTTGTCACCAAATTTTAACCCCATTTTTTAAGGGCGTGCCTAACAACCAAGTAATAATTTAGACCGGTGGCTATGTGGAGTTTGGAAATTCAAATAATTGTCGGGTGTTGAAGCAGATTTGGCCATTTGGGTCTTTCATGTTCCTAAGGTGACTATAAAGAAGAGAGACAGATAATTATAGCAAAACTTATTTATCACGTGAGTAGGGTCTATTAAACTTATTTTTGTCTTTTTATCTCGTAATTTAGGAAAAGTACATGGGGTATTTAATTTTTCTGTAGCATGGTTCGAATTCAAACTACCAATCTGAAGGAGAAAAAAATAATGGAAGAAATTAAAATATAAAGGAAGAAGACAAATGAACGAATTGGGAATCCATGAACATTATCCAGTGGGGTGGGGTGGTATTGGTGGTGGTTTTTTAATGCATTTAGATTCTCTTTTTCTTAAATGGTAAGATATGATCTTGTTTGAGTAAAAAAGATATTTTTTTTTATATAATCAGAAAACCTTCCAACCACTAGTGACAAGTTTTTGCGTAACAAAATTTCTCTCCTTTTCTTGTGACCAGTATATGACTCTGTTGTTGAAGAAAATCAAATTAATTTTTCAATGTTGAATTATTATAAATTTTAGTTTCCTACCTTTGTAGTTGGAACTTGATAACCGGTCTTGCCTTCAATAAAAGCTGGACACAAAGTTAAAACCTTTTGGACTGAACAAATTTATTTATATCTTGTCTTCACAATCTAAATTCTACAATATGAGGAGTGAAGTAAACTAAGTTAAAAAATAGTGTACTAAACCATTGTCTAAGCATCCTCTAACAGTAAACAACAAAATTTACTGTCCCAGAGCAAATTTTACCAACCCTAGTTTTATTGTTCTTTCAACAAGCAGAAATAAAAACACATTAAAATTATTAATGATCAAATCTAGGTGGTGTTTAGGTTGATCAAATTTTATGTGATAAAAACAAATATAAGCATATAAAAACAAATTGATTTTACTTGAAAAAACCTATACGTACAAAATAATATAATATGGTTTAAATTTTTCACAAAAAGAGAAATACATTTATTCTGCCGCCGTTTTTTTTTTTTTCCATGTTTGATTCTTATGCAAGAAATCTATTGAAAAAACATATTAACGTGTAAACATAAGTGTTTACACGCATGTGTTGATTCGTTACTATAAAATCTATATTTCCATTCTCTTCCCTGCATTTTAAATTAATATATAGATGCTCTCTCGATTGTAATATCCTGGAATAGATGTACCAACCATTACGTATCATTTTTAATTTGATTTTCTACATTAAACTGGTGTATCTCACCCTTTACTATTTTAGATTTATTCCCATTACTTCACATCAATTTCCACAAGCATCACTACATAGGGCTCCTTGAGGCAGTGATAATAAGCCAAATGATAATTTTCATTTCTTACTTGGCATATGCTTGGGAAAAAGAAATACAGAAGACAAGAATGTTCCCAAATCTCCATCCATAAATAAAAACAAAGTGGGGGAGAAAAAGACAAGCAATATCAAATACATTCACTCCCAATTAGTAATGGATACAATATTCTCATCTATCCAATCTTACAATGCTACATTCAAGTTGGAAGAGTTAGGCCAATAAATTAGTAACTCATCATTTCATACTTAACTAGTAATCACTTATCATAATAGCCATTGATTAATTATATATATTACTAGGTAGATGCATACAAATTATGCAAGTATTTTCATTCCGAATATTCCACAAGAGAATAATAGCATTAGGGCTCTCGGCTTCCACGTTTTCATGTCACACCACCATGGAATAAAAATGGATTTTTTACATCAATCTGTCGTCCTGGTTGCTTCAATAAAATGGACCAAATTGCTTTGGGAATAAAAACATGATGGGTGCACCTCCTGGACCAAATTCCTTACTTGTATTAATATTCAGCACACTTGATTTGGAACTTTGAGATCACGCTTACCAGATTTATTGAATCATAATCCTCGTGAGTTACAATGAATCATCACCTAGACAAATATTAACGCTACATACGTTGCGTTTTTAATTTTGAAGAATTTTAAGATCAACATTAAAATTATGATTGCAAGATCTGTGATTATGTGTTGAACAAGTAATTTATGTAAAATTTTTGTCCATATTTTATCCAACACTTTTTAGATTTACTTTTGAGCCAAATTTAAACAAGGGATATTACCTTTTTGAAAAAGTATCTATCTATGTCTTATTAATAGTAGTGTGATACTTGTCAAAAAACTTACTTTTTTTTCTTTTATGCATAATTTTTTTATTTTTAAATCATTTTTAATAATTTTATTGAAAAATAGATGAAACATTTTATAACTTCTCTTGCCATGAGAATTGCAGAAGAAATGAAAGAGAAAATCTAAAAGTTGACTGAATGAAGGCTTAGATTGTGTTAATAAGACCAGCGGGGAAATTAATATTACAAAAATGGATGATATTTAATATTTTTCTGTCTTTGTAAGTGTTAATTTTTTTAAAATAATTAATTTATTTGTTAGTCATTTTTATAGTTAAAAATTTAATAATTATTTATTGATTTATATAAATAACTAAAAAAAAGGAAAGAGTAGTATATTTGTTATAAATAATATACAGTATCTTATTGTTTATTGTTATAAGAAGTTTTAATTTGATTTAAAATGTAGGTTTTTTGGCCTATCTTCCAATAACTAGGTATGAATGTGGTTGGGCAGTACTTAAATTAGGGTGTAAATGTATGAAAATGTAGATAAAATTCTTCCAACTTGGACTTAAATAATTTCAAGCTGAAGATAAATTTCAACACTTGAGGTGTATGTAAGTCTTGTGATTTATGAGTGCAAATGAGATTCTATCTTTCATCCTAATGACTTAAAATTCAAATTTAATATATAATGTATACCAGCTCTACACATGCACAAGAGAATTGAATGTGTGGAAACTAAAGGAGGCATTCACTTTTACTTTTTATAGCATATTTACATGTTCTAATTCACTAACCTCTGCAAATCGTGATTTAAGGAAGCTAATGGATTATTTACTGTCCCATTACTACACACTATAATTATAACGAATGTAAAATAATAATTTGTGTTTATATAATCATGAAAGTAACTTTTTTATGAAAAGAAAATAACTTCCAAAATAGTTGAAGGAGAAATGGATGTGAAGAGAAAATAGAGAGGGTGGTTAAAGGGGAAAAGGGTTGGGAGTGTGTGGTGGTTGGTCCGAATAACAACAATAATTAGGAGAAGTAAAGGGCTAACACAATGATCACATCAGGGGCAAAGAGCCCCCAAAGAGCACCACACAACGACAAAAGGGCAAAAATGAGAATTCACGGGAGTATAATCAATCTATTGGAGCAAACGAGGCGAGACCGCATCATGAGACCCCAAACCTAAACCAGAAAGGAAAAAGAAATGGAGAAGAAACGAGATTAAGAATTGGGGTTTGGAAAAGGTGGTCTCTTGCATCTCGATCGAACCATCTTCTTCTTCCAAACTATTCACGTAAAACATGCGCCGAGGGAGACCCACCGCCGCTGTTGCTGCCGTCGATCCCTCGGCGGACCAGGACCCTCCGCCCAAGGAGACGCGCTTTCGCGGCGTCAGGAAGCGCCCCTGGGGGCGATTCGCGGCGGAGATTAGAGATCCGTTGAAAAAACAGCGCGTGTGGCTCGGCACCTTCGATTCTGCCGAGGATGCCGCGAGGGCCTACGACGCCGCGGCCCGATCCTTCCGCGGGCCCAAAGCGAAGACCAATTTTCCTTTCCCAAACCCCGAGACGGACAACTCCCACTCCCAGATTCCGCTCTACCAGGCCCACGGGCTCTCCAAGTTCGACGCCGTCCAGGTGAACCGGCCCACCACCAGCGGCATGAGCAGCACGGTCGAGTCCTTCAGCGGGCCTAGGGTTCCCTCTTCCTCCACTCTCCACCCTCGCAAGCCCATCGTTAACCCCATCGTCCCGCCTCTCGACGATTGCCACAGCGATTGCGACTCTTCTTCCTCCGTCGTCGACGACGAGGACTGCGTCCTCACCTCCTCGTTCCGGCAACCGCTCCCCTTCGATCTCAACCTCCCTCCTCCCGGCGCCGACGACGACATCCCGGCCACTGCGCTTTGCCTCTGATGACGGATCGGTATAATCTTCCTCTTCCTCATCATCTTCTTGTTGTTGTTCGATCGATGTCGTTTAATTAATTAATGTTTACGGGTTGTTAGATTGTTGTGGTGTTGTAGAGTAATATTATAGGCATGGAGGGATGGAGGTTTGTGTGGCGGTGGTGGTGATGGTTTTGGCTGTGTTGTTGTAAGTTATTTGGATCCTGTGTCATAGCATTGGACCTGATCTGAAAACTGGTTGGTGCTTATGCTTTCTTCATGGATCTGCTTCTTACCTTACCTTACCCAATTAGAACTTACTCTTTTTGTTTTTTTTTGTACAAAAATTATGGCAATCAGATCATAGAATAAATTACATTCTAATCAATTACACTGTCCTTACTTGCTTCTTCGTGATCATCTTGCTTAATATGCGATGCAATGATGCACCGGGATTGCTTTTTGAGTGCAACAGTGAGGAATTCAGATGCAATATTGTTTCATCCTAATTCTTGTTCTTTGTGATGAGAAAAAAAATGTTCAAGAACCTGAATTTTTTTCAAGAAATCTTTGATGTTACTTGCAAGAGTTTGAAACAAATAATCATGTCGCATTGAAGGGCAAACATAGTAGATGATGATACGGATCTGATGTATGGGATGTGTTCGGTGCTAGATTGGTACTAGTTTTGTTACTTTTCATTTGATTTGACCAAGGGTTTTCTGAAAATAGAGAAAATATTTTTTTTGTCCTTTAGAATATCTATTTGATTTATGTATATGTAAAAATTTAGCATGTTTTTGTCCAAACTTTTATCAAAAGTGACATACAACTTAGGTGAATTTAGTTTTTGATCAGTTATCAAATATTTTCTTTTAAGATGTTGGGATTAAAAATAACATCACATTTTTATCAAGTTTTTATTTCAAGATAGATGGAAAAACTAAAACCATTTTATTCTTAAAACCGTTTTTTTTTTGTTACTATTATCAAACAATAATTTGGAGAAATTGCGGAAAGTTGACTAACACTGGTACATCTAAGGATAGAGCTACCTTTGAGAGATGTTGGAGCAATGAGGTCTGGTGCGTATTCATGATTAACAAGGGTCTTGAATGCTTCATATGTGAAGACCACAGTTTTAGGTTTTCACATCTCTTAGAAGATCCCAGACACTGAATTATTTTTTTTTTTCTCCTCCCGTGATTTTGAACAACTACAATTTTCTGACGTTTGATTTCAAATAAACTTCTTGGGAGATGATTGATTTCTAAATAGATGGTTGTTTGCTGAGGATAATATTAATCAGTAATAGTATATATTTACACCTTTCTCACAATTCTTCTTGGAATTATTAAAATTTATGGTTTATGTGTTTTAAAACCTTTTGCTGTTAATTTTTTTTGAATAAAGTAGAAGGAACTTCTGAATATCTGTTATCATTCAAATCTGAAAAAACATATTTGTGTTATATGTTGATATGGATATTGATATCTTTTTCTGTAATTATAAGCAAAAAAATCCATCTTTGTAATGATTGTATAGTAGAATGTTCTTTAAGTTCTCGTGACTAATGGATTTCTTTTTTTTAATGTAATTAATACACATTACTTGCGATAAAAACAAGAAAGTTGGAACAAAATTTATCTTTCATGAATAAAACAAAACAGTATTCGGAAAAGCTGAAAAGAAAAGAAACTAATCATAAAAGTAAAAAAGAAGAAGTGTATTTTAATAAATTTTAAAATAATAATATGCATGCACATATAATTGGTTGGTTCCACTTTAATTTTTATATATTTAGATCCCGCTTCTAAATATGGAGATCAATAGATGTGGGGTAAATAACTTGGTGTTTAATTGAACCAAACATTATTCCATTTCCATATGTTGTTGTGACTAAGAAATTGTTTATGGGACATGTTGTAAAAGGAGGGTTCTCTCAGATAATGCAACTATCGATTATCTATTTTGATAGATAACTAATGTTAAATTGTTTCGAATCTTGGAATGTAGATGTTTTCTCATACTTTATCGTACCATTTGTTTCTGTTACATGGTTTCTTATATAGTTTCATTTTTGCCAAAGAAAAAATCATTTACGGCAAAGACATTAATTTTAGTAAAACAGATTTTAAGAAACCTTATATAAATAAGTTTAGATATAACCAAAAATGGGTACAATTTAATGTCAAACAATTACTGTAATTAAGAATGGATTAGACAAATTGTTGAGAAATTTACAAATTAACCATTGTGTGATTATTAGAGAACTTAACCAAATTTGGGCAATAAGTGTTTGTTTGTGTTAAGTTGTGTAACTTTGTGATAAAATTTAACCAAAACACTTTACTCGGGAGTTGAATGTAGTTCTACATGCCCTGAATTACCTTTGAAGGAGGCCAGAAAATTGGGATAGGAGGGGTAATGACAACAAATAAGAGTTTCATAACTTGAAAGATGGAGTTATGCATGTTACATATTGACTACGCAATGGATGACAATATGTAGCAGTTGCGGGAGACTGACACTATGTATGGACAAAAAAATATGATTTTAACAAACAGTTTGTAAATTTTCATGAAAATTATTCATCACCCAATCTCAAAGGTTTTCTCATATTACCCCATATAAGTTGTATCTATGAGTCATATAAATCCCATATTTGTTCGAGAGAAATGGTATTTTTTTTATAATCTTTTCTAACAAACAACTCTTCAACCATTTCATTTAATAACATAATATTATTTTTAAATTATTTTTATTTTGATTAAACACTTTTATGTTGTGTACTAGATATTTATCTGTTTGTGCGTCTCAATCTATCATCTTTCTATTTGTGTATGTTTTCATGTAGATGAGAAGAGATATTTTGGGAGGACCAAATCGTTTATTATCAAAGAATGCGATAATATATTGAATTTTTTTAGTTCTATTAACTTGGAACATGATTTAATTTGAATATATATTAATTTTGAATTATTTGTTACCTTATATATATATATATATATATATATATATATATATATATATATATAACAAAATTATATGATATATTTAAAAAATGATAAAATATGACTAATTTAATATAATAATATTTAAAATTAACAAATAAACTTCAATGCTATTTATACATTTATTTTCATTATGGATAATATGTTTTTATTTTTATTTGCAAACTTAATGTTCATCATAACTTGTGGAGGATAAAGTTTCCTTATAAATAAATTTTTTGAAGCTGTCTACATTATTAAAAAAAAAAATATATTTATTATATGTTTCATTCTATAATTAAATATATTTAGATTTTAAGAAGGAAGAAAATTGATATTGAAATGCTTCCATAAGTATTTGTCTAACTTATGAAACAACAAATTTATATTTTTAAAATCTTAAGTTTTTTAAAACAAGTTGAATTAAAAATTAATTAAACTTATATTTAAATATTAAATAAATATTTAATACTTTAAATGTTATAAAACTAATACTTTTATTTTATATGTATATTTTTAAAACTAAATATAAATATGAAAATAAATAATTAAAATCAACTCGTTCATTTTCGCTGATGGAGTATAAAATTCAGTTCTTTGACTCATAAAACAGAATTTTTAAAATAAAAATAAAAATTATAGTATCTATAATCTATAATTATATATAAAATTATTTTTTTAATTTTTTTTTGTATTGGAGAGAAAAAAATAAAAATATTATAATTTAAAGAAAAAAATAATTATTATAATCTATATATTTAGCAAATAATAAAAAATTGAGAATGAAAAAAAGAAAAAGTAAATATATCTAAAAATAAAATAGTATATAAAAAATAATAATTATAAAAAAATGTTTACGCTTTAGCATGTTTATTTTCACTAGTTTAATATAATATATTTTATATTTTAATAAACTTAATTTTTTATTTGTTACATGTATTTATTAGAAAATGACTATTTATATTCTATTAACTGATTTAATGATATATATATTCCTATAAAAAATCACTTTTTTTATAAGAGAGATTAAAAATATATTAATTTCAATTAAAATATTTTTAGTAAAATTACATCTATGTATAGAAGTAAATATTATTTTATGAATGAACATGAAAAAATACTATTGTTTTCTATAAATATAAAAATGCAGAAGTGGTTACACTAAACATCACCCTAAACTTGGTACAAGTAAATGTGTTTTCTCTACTGCCCCTGTACCTCCATTTTTGTTTATTTATTATTCCTTGAGAACTTAGAAGAATTGTTGGTTACTGATGCTGTGGTGGGTTTTGTTCAAAATTTCAGAATTGTAATGGAAAACTCAGACCATGACGAACCCGAGAAGAAGAGGCCTCATCTCACCTCTGTTTCCTCCCGCACGCCTCGAAACTCCATCAACTCTCCTACCACCAACAAAATCGTAATCCCTTTTTCTCTCTCTACATGGTTTTGTAAATGTACCGGTGTTTTCATATATGTTCTGCTTTCATCTCTTTCATTGTACTCTTGTGTTCTGTTTATGATCCGGATTCTGAAATTTTCTAGTGTTTGCCTTGAATTAGGTGTATGGTTGCATTGTTTTAGCCGCTTGATATTGTAGGTACAGAATGAATTGCCTCTTTGAATTTGGGGAATGTAATTTTGGATTAAGTTTTGACTTTTATCATAAGGGGTAGCAGTTTGATTGTGCTTGATGCTAACTTACTAAACTCCATTAACAAATCACTCGTCCGTGTGAAAAAAAGAAGAAGAGAAAAGTAGTGAGAATCGAAATATCTATAGTTAGTTTCAATCTAATCTCGAGGAAGTTGAGAATTCAAATTAACAAATAGATCATTCTAGAAAATAAAAACAAGCAAAATTGGCTCGGTTACTTAAGGGGTGTAGCTCACATCATTGAGCAGTGTGTGTGGGCTGTGTGACATATTGTTTCTGAACAAGATGTTTTCATTTCACTGAGAGTGTTTCGTATAAAAGAAAAGTGTATAATGAAAAAATAGCCAGGTAAGGGTTTTTATGAGCTTTGAGGTGCTTGACTAGATTTTTAGGTAAAAGTTTTTTGTTTATCGTACAACTACTCTTTCTCTGTAGCAGCAAGATTTTTTTCAATGTTAGTTGTTTATTCGTTTTACTTCTGTAACGAGGAATTGTATCCTCCCTTCAGGCTGATGCAGGAGTCTTACAGTTCCAGAATCAGCAGCTTGTTCAACAGATAGACATCCAAAAACATGCTTTGCATGATCTTGAAGAAAAAATTGGAGAATTGAAAGGAAAGCAAAGTTCTTATGATGACTTGTTAATTGCATTGAACCAACACTGGATTCAGGTTATTCTTTGTCATCATGCTATGGTTTCTCTCACCCTCTGTTTTCCTCTCTCGAAAGTAGCACTACCATATATAAAGTGTATGTTCTGGTGACCCTTTGGGATATCATTGGGTGGGAGGAAATACACGTTTTTGTCATATTCCTGTAGGATAATATGCTAGCTGGCTTAATTTTCTTTTATGTCTTTCTAGTTGGTAGACGATATGATTCTTCTTGCAATACAAGCTGGGAGAGGCAAAGGCAAAGACACATTGCAATATTTGACTGACATTGATACTCCTAAAGGTATACACAGTCACAAAGTTTTTTCTTACAGTGTAAAGGTAATTCAAAAGACTGACTTGACTATCTCTCTAGGTTCACTTCCTTCGTGTCCCGCTGAGGATATATTTCTATGTAGATTAATCCAGAAAGATTCTATTAAAGGAATCAGTGATGATGAGATAACTAGTTCTGTTGAGGAGGCCCTTGCTTTGCGTCAATCATCTACAAGTGAGTTGTTCAAACTCCTGAAGGATATTATTGATGATCAGATGGAAAGATCAGGCAGTATAGCTCAGGTTTTACATGGAGATTTATCATCAGAAGGTAAAAAATATGATATGCTATCCAGTTGTTGAAGCATATGGTTTTGTTTATGATTGACATATCAATGTTGTAGAATAGTTTGAGGAAATTTATACAAATGATTTGTTGTTACTCATTGTGGTTTGCAGATGCTATAAGCCTAATGACTAAGATTGATGATATGATGAAAGAAGAGGCAAATAATTTACAAGAAGTGATTGATACTCTCCATGCAAAGCATAAAGAGTATACTGTTGGTATTCAAAGTTCTGTTAATGAGTGCATACAAGATCAATCTGACATTAAACACCTTGCAGGTCTGTGAAATGTTTCTTGGTATTTTGTTAGCTAATTCAATTATTATGATGTTTAGAATTAAAGAAATGTGAAATATAATGATCTTGATTATCATATGATATGGTTTAAATGGTGCACGTATGGTTTAATAAAAGAACATTTTCATGCATTTAATGATCATTTTTTGTCTGGTGAAGTGCTAATATTATTATACATTGTATGAATAAATTTCCAACTTGATCCCTGAATTTGTATCACACAAAGACTGAAAAACAAATTGAATGTTTGAAAAAAATTGAGGACCAAAAATGGGGGCCTACTTTAAACTTTTTGGAGGATCTCTTACTGCAAAATTGATCATTGAATATCTTCCACACATTGTTCTTCTCTAATTGCTTTGATGATTAGTTAGCTTGTTATTTGGAAATAATTTTCGTTTTGCAACTCTTTTTTTGTAGTTGGATGTGATTAAAAGGTTAAGCTAAAGTTAAATTAGGAAACCTATTATCCAGTCGATTATCTATATGATTCTAAGTAGAATCAGAAGTAAATGTGTAGTACTATGATTAGATCGGCACTCTGCGTTGGGGATAGTCATTAAAAGTTCATGACAAGCCAATCAAGCCATATAGTTTGGAATGAGCTGATGTTGTTTTATCATATTGAAAATTGAAGAAATTTTTTATAGAATGAAACATTTTAAGGAATTAATTTGATTTATAATTGGATTTTTTGTTTGGAACATTATAAAATTGAAATTTCTTTTTTCGTATACTTATAAAATAAGAATATGATATGATTTTAATTTTAATTGTTGGATATATGGTAGTTAAACTTGAGATTCTACTTAGAATTATAGAGGGGATACATAATTGAAAATCATTAAATCGTAACACGAAATTAAGATCCTGCAAAAATATATACAATTCATATACATGTATGTAACATAACATAAATAAGGGAAGAAAAACCCATGTAACGCACCAAATATTTAATTAAGCTTAATTTTATAATCATAGATTAATAAGCATAACAAAGTCAATGACTAAAACCCGCTCAAAACTCAACACATGTCATAAATGACAAACAAAGCAATGTAAGGTAATGTAGTAGTTCCAAGTCAAATGTTTGTTTGGGGCTTGCCTTAGGGAAAAGTCGTTTCCTCTGTTATTATTAGTGTTGGGGTTATAGAAAAGTTTGTTTTGGAGCATGGGTTTTATGGGCTTAGGTTTACAAAAGCCCAAAATGAAAAGGAAAAGGAGAGGAACTTGACCTATTGCTGAAAGTTGGCACATAAAAACATAATCTCAGCAAACTTAGAAAACTCTCTGTTACCACCGTTTTTATGATTTTACACTGCAAGACTACCTATACTGCTCTGTAGCGATTCTGGGCATGAATGAACTTGCTACGTGTTGGAACACAATTTTGACTACATTGTTGGATATAGCAATGCTTGTGCACAGTTTAAGGTTGGTGAATAGAAAGACAGCTACTTGAAAAAAGTGACTTAGGTCATGAGGTTCCCACCAATTGAGACTTGGGAGGGGGTGGGGGTAGATGTTCTAGCCTTAGCCCTACCAGCAGATATATTTCCAGGATTTGAACCTTGACTGATCACAAGGCAGCAACATCACCATTGGCCCAAGGCTCGCGTGAAAGCTTTTGTAAAGTTCATGTATAATTTAGAAGTAATAACAGCCTCTGGAGAGCATAATGGTTCTTTTGTCTTGCGCTTATTAGGGAGAGAATTGTAATCATGCAGCTGCAAAGTTCATTAATTTAGGAAAATTATAAAGAAGAGTTAAGTTACAGTGATTATAATTGGTCTGGTTAGAATTAAGTAGGATTAAATATGATCGGAAGTTAGATTTATGGAGAGATTTTTGTATAATTTTGGAAATGATAGATGCAGATCTGTGATTTATTTTATTTTCTTGCTGATTGCTTTTCATAATTGTCACTTCTTGAAAGGTGAGCTTGATGAGGTAATCGCTGAACTTGAAGAGAGTAGAAGAAAACTAGTCAATCTGGAAATGCAAAAGGATGCGGCAATAGGGATGAATTCTCCCAATGCAGATGCAGTGAATGGAAATCTGTCTCCTGAAAACATTGCAGATAGGAGCATGGGTTTGCGTGAGTTGAAGGATTCAATTGAGGAAGCAAAGGTTTTTGTCATGTGATTTTCTTTTCTTCTGTGTCTGTAATTCCTTTGTCCTTGTTCTCTATCTAATGAAGATATATGTTTGCTTAATGTCAGATAGTGGATGCTGATCGTCTCTCTGAGCTCCAAGATGCACGAGAAGACAATCACACCTTGACAAAGCAATTCCAAGATCTTCAGGTTTGTAAGTTTGGATCATCTAGTATGATCATGTTTTCTTGCATTGTTGAGATGCGATCATTATAAAGTTCCATGTAAAACTTTATTTTCATCTATGTTTATTTCCAGAATGAATTGAAAGATGATAAGTATGTACGATGTTCTCGAATATACTCTTTAGCTAATGATCAACTTCAACATTGGACATCTGAATTGGCCCGATATAAAACATTGGCAGAATCTCTGCAGGTTAACAGTTATTTCCTTTTTTCCCATCAGTTGTGTAACAGTTTGGTTTTAGTTTCACATTTGTCATTTACTCTGTTACAATTATTTTAAAATGGTATTTTAGGCTGGCAGTGTTCATATTGCAAAATGGGAGAATGAACTAAATTTGAAGTTGGAGTCTGCTGATGCCGCAAGGCAGGTCCTTGACAATTCTGACCATAGGATTGATGAACTAGAGCTCCAGTTGCAGAAGTGTATTATTGAAAAGAATGATCTAGAAATTAAAATGGAAGAAGCTAAACAGGATACTGGTCAGCAGCATATAACTTGTTTTGTGTTATACTAGTGCTAGATGTGTTTAGATCCCTCAGTTTCTTACAGTATTATACATTTCAGGGAGAAAAGATATCAAATCTGAGTTTCGTGTTATGGCTTCAGCTTTATCTAAAGAAATGGGGATGATGGAAGCTCAATTAAAGCGATGGAAAGATGCAGCTCATGAGGCTGTATCATTACGTGAGAAAGCTCATTCACTAAGAGAAGTGTTGAGCACAAAGGTTGTTGTCACAAACTGATTCAATATAATTTGCCCTTTCATTTTCTTTCCCACCTACCTTGTGATAAGGCTTCCAAAGAAATTTATCTAGTTCGATTGAATCTGCAATGTTCTCTTCATTGTCACTTTTACAAGGAATTGGGTTCCACGAGAGCATATATCTTATAGCCATCTTAAATTTTGTTGTAATATGTCAAGAAATGATTCACTCAAATGCTAAGCTGTTGGCAAAACGTAGGGATTGTTTTGAAATATATCCCTAGCATGCCCTGACAAGTAAAAAAGGCTTTTGGCTTTGTGGACAATGTAAGTGACATTATTGAATCCAATAAATATATGCTGCACAATGTAACATGACATTGTTGAATCCAATAAATATATGCTGCAACATTGTTAATTGTAACTAGACATTGAATTCCAATGTCCATCTGTTTTAAAAATTGACAGAGTTCTGTATGCATGTTAAATTATAGAAAGTCAATGAAAAATTTCCAATTTGATGCAAGTTAACAAAAGCAATCCACTGCCACTGTAATAAATTATGGTTATTGGATAAAACACTATGGTTAGTATATGATAATTTGTGGTTATTAATCAAAATGGAAATATTTGTTGACCAAAACCACCTTGAATTTAATGACAAAATTTTTCTGGTTGGAAAATGCAGCCAGACCATATGGGCGGAAGTTTTTGCCATTGAACACTGGTAGTGTATAGAATAGTTTACAGTTGTAATCAGTTTAGTATCTGTTTACTGTAGTCATTGATACTGATCTGTCAGTTAGTAATGGTGAGCTGTAGACTAGTCAGCGCAGCTTTCATAGCAAGTCAGCTTAGTCCTACTTTCTTCAAATACATACAAAATATACTTTTTTTGCATTAGGGTTGGCTGATTACTTTGTTGTGATGCAGACAAGCGAACTTAAGAACCTTGCAAACAAAAGTGCTGAACAGGTTTTGGAAATCAGGTCTTTAAAAACGTTGGTAAGTCTGCATTGGGTTTAACTTTTGTCTCTCTTGATCTATATGTATTTTCTTTTTTAATGCCTTTCTTGTATGCAGTGACACTTCTCAATTTTCTTGTTTGGGTTTATGTTGATCGATGCTTTAACCTATTACTTTTTGAATCTTGAGTATGTCTATGACTGAACCAGATATGGTTGCAAATCTTGTCCTTTTCTTTGACTAGTATTACATGTTCTCAGTTATCGTCGCATTCCAAGATTCTTTATCATTATTTGATTGTGATTTTAGAGGGATTCTTGATTGTCTAAACTACTTTTTAAACAATTCATTAATATATTTTGGTGCAGATTGAAAAGTTAAAGAGGGAGAATCAGGAATTAGAATTTGTTCTGGACATGTATGGGCAAGAGAATTATGATAAAAGGTATGCTGATTTGAAATATTAAAATGGTGGCATGAGTTTCATACTGTTAATTATATGAGGTAGAGCTTCTTATAAAGTACGTGTAGAATTGCTGATACATTGTTAATTTAGTCAGACCAGAATCCCAAACTAGATTCCCATACTTCCATTATGGGACTCAAGTCCCATTGGATCCTAACATAGTGGATCCCAAATAAACCCAGAATCTTCTGTGTGTATCTATCTATATATTCATTATTCATCCCAAATAAACTCAGAATCTTCTGTATGTATCTATCTATTTATTCATTATTCATGTATCCTTTGTACAATTTAATCAATCAGATGTATTATCTCAAATAAGCCCATAATTTTCCGTTGGTTTCAAGTATTTCCATTCGCAGTGTGCTAATTATTCAGTTTTTAGTGTTAAACTTAACCCAAGAGTTGTTCTTGGTGACTGACTCGAGGATTTATTTTGCATCTAATTCACAATTATGTATACTTGGATGATGCGATCTTGATTTGCTGTAAGACCTTGATTTCAGTTATTCAGAAATCAAAGAATCTGAAAGTAAAGCTCACTCTCAAGCTGAAATTCTGAAAAATGCTTTAGATGAGCATAGCCTAGAGTTGAGAGTAAAAGCTGCTAATGAAGCTGAAGCTGCTTGTGAGCAAAGGCTTTCTGCCGCTGAAGCTGAAATAGAGGACTTGAGGGCCAAGCTGGATGCATCTGAGAGGTAGGTGTTTAGGTGTACTTCTATATTGATTATGGTTTTACTTCATCAACAAACTTCTGTAGTGTCTATCATTTTTTTCTTCCGTTACACTTCCATATTTGTGCTTGTTTATTTGGGAGAGAAGTTTCTGGTGGTGAAGAGTGGGGAAGGTAGACAGGCTAAAGTATATATAGGTGAAGGACTTTCTTATTGGCCAGTATACTGTGGTGTCTTACATTCATAGCTGCATACTCTGGGAGGATGTGTTAGGCTATTTACATGAGCTCTATTTGATTTTTTATAATAGAGTAGAGTGTAAGCATGAAATTCTGTTAAATAATATTTATTATTTATTTTGTTGCTACCATTGGTTTATCTGGGGTATTTCTGAAAAATTATGCTTAAATCATCTTATTTGGCAAAGGCCAGAATCCTAGTTACACTTTAGCATTATAAAATGAGAAAAAATATTATAGATGAAGGATACAAGGAGGATGGAATCATGTTGATGTCTAAATGTTTAATTGAGCTAAATATTTTTTGTAGCAGAGTAATAGCTAAAATTAACTTTGGAGAAACAACTCTCAGTATAAGTATACATAATATATTATAGACCTAGATATGATTTTACTTCCTCAATTTTGCGTCAAGTTTGTTTTTGTTCTTTCATTTTTTTTTTTCGTCCCTATAATTTGGAAAGAATTATTTTAGCCATTCAAAATGAATACTTTGAAAGTAAAACAAACATGGGGATGGGTGATAATAAGAATGCCAAATCAAAGAGTTGTCAAAAGACTCGTAATTGCTAGTTATATAAGAAAAAATTTCAAGCAGTAATCATATATCATACATAGATAAATTGCAAGAGCTTGTAAAATTTTCTTGGTGAAAATTAATTAAACTTTGTATACTTAATAATCAATCTTTCCAAAAATTTAATTGCACCGACAATATACAGGTCCATCTTATCTTGTGATGAAATTTAATTTTGATTTTAACCAAATGGGGTTTGCTATGGTTGAACTCTTGTAGGCAATTTTGTTCAAGAGTTTTGATACCATGTCATTAACCAATTAACTTAAAAGCTGAAGTTGTTAAGTAAAGATACAACATTGCTTTTATAACTTAAGAGTAAAAAAGAAAGGAAAAATATGCTTTAGAGGGCTTAATCACACGCACACCCCTCATATGTTCATTTATTTATATTGATAAAGTACAAATACAATGAGTAGATAGAAAGTCAAGGGACTAAAGCTGATCTAGAAACATAGGTGTAAAGATAGATACAAATTATAAGTTAAAAATTTCAACACTCCCCCTCAAGCTGGAGCATACAGATTGTATGTACCAAACTTGGAATAAATGAATTCAATCCGAGGATCCCTTAATGATTTTGTTAACACATCTATAAGTTGATCATTAGATTCAATAAACTCTGTACAAATTTCCATAGTCATCAGCTTTTTCCGAAGGCAGTCAAGCTCGATGTGTTTCGTTCTCTCATGAAATACTAGATTAGAGGCAATGTGAAGTGCAACTTGATTAGCACAAACATTTTCACGATCTGAATCTCACAGAATTTGAGTACTTGAAGGAATTGTTTCACCCACACTAGTTTGCAAGTGAGAGATGTCATCGTTCTATATTCAGTTTTTGTAGTTGATTGGGCCACTACATTCTGTTTCTTGCTTTTCCAAGAAATAATATTTCCTCCAAGAAAAATACAATATCTGGTAGTGGAGCATTTGTCAGACGGAGGTCCAGTCCAATCAGCATCACAATACCCAAATATTTGAGTGTTGCCTTTATCTTCATATAACAAACCTTATCCTGAAGTCTTTTTTAGATACCTCTAGATATGGATGATGACATTCCAGTGGTCAATGCAAGGAGTCTGCATGAATTGGATAACAACACCAACTGCGAAAGACAAATTAAATCTAGAAATGGTAAGATAGATAAGTTTTCCAACTAGTCTTCTATATGTTTCTGGATCCATAAGACTGTCTGTTGATTTACAGTCAATCATACATGTTTCTCTTAGAATATCTAGTGCATACTTCCTTTGAGATATCACAACACATTTTCTTGATTGAGCTACTTCAATTCTCAGGAAGTATTTGCGACTCCCAAGGTCTTTGGTTTGAAAATACTTGCACAAATATTCCTTTAGTTGAGATATTCTAGCAGCAACACTCCCTGTAATAACTATATGATTAACATATTCTAGCAGCCTAACTCCCCCTGAGCAACAAATCTAGGAAGTTGCTCCATATAAATCTTCTCTTTAAGATCGCTATGAAGAAATAAATTTTGATATCTAATTGATTAAGTGACTTATAATAAATAATTGCCATGACAAAGAATAAATGATAATAGTCATTTTGGCCACTAAATAAAAAATATCGTTATAATTAAGGTCATAAATTTGAGTGTATCCTTTAGCAATTAAGCGTGCCTTAAGACGATCGACTTCACTATTTGAGCAACTTTAATAGCATAAACCAAACGACATCTCACTGTTTTCTTCCTAGGTAGAAGGGATACCAAGTCCTATGTGTGATTCTGATCAAGAGTCTGCATTTCAACAATCATGGCTTAACGCCATTTAGGGTGATCAATTGCTTCATTCACATATTTGAGAATAGTAATAGAAGACACCGATGATAGAAAAGAATGATAAGGAGACAACTTGTGATAGTTAAGAAAATATAAATGAGATGAGGAATACGAGTAGAATGGGTACGTTTTCTGATGGCAATGGGTATGATTGAATCATCATTTGGAGGAATTGCGGTATGAAGAGTTGATGGAGAAGGAATGGAAGAAAGAGGTCTCATCTTGAAGTGTTGCATGAGTAATTTGGTTCCAATGTTGTTAAGAGGTGGATGACAAGACCAGAATCATCTGAGGCATGAGGAACAATTGACTCAACTAATAAAATATGTACAATCTCTTGAATGGAAGTACCATCTTGAACAGATGAAGGGAAGAAAGGTGTCTGTTCAACGAAAGTGACATTGACTCACATGTATTTATTTGTTTCAGGAGAGTAACACCGATATTTTTTTTGAAGTCAAGAGTAGTCTAAGAAAACACATTTGATAGCCCGGGCAGAAAGTTTATCTATTTATGGGGATAAATCATGAATAGAACATACAAAATCGAACATATGAGGAGAGACTTGAGAAACTTATTTAAGGTTTCAATATAGTGTCTAAAGGCACAATTACATTGTATTTATAGATAAAGGAGATACAACAGAGAGTATATATGCCTTAGCCCAAACCCTTAACCCTAGTCTAAAGAACATACATAGAGAATACAAAAAGATAGAAAAATAACATGTCTCAACAATATGAAAGAGAGGTTCTCTGGGAAAAAGAATGGAGTAAGGAATCATATTATTGAGAGAAGAGGTATAACAAGAATTGACATCAAAGGTTATTGAACAATTTAAAGACTTGGTTAATTGACTTAATAAATTAAGATTAAAAGGACAAGAATGTACAAATAAAACAAATTTTAAATTTAAAAAGGGTGAAAGAAACTTGATCCACTCCTTTGGAAGGAGCTTTAGAACTATTGACTAAGATAATGGAATGAGATTCTTGGGAAAGAGAAGGGATGAGAACAATGATACATTACCAGAAATGTGATTAGAAGCATTTGACTCTCTTTTCTATGGATTTTGACTTTCCACATATTGTGAAATGCAAACTATTGATAAATTGGATCTTGATGATTGTGTTAAGTTATTGGATTTCAACCTTAGATATTCTTGGACTCAATAGCTTCAACCTTAGAGATATTGACTGTCTTGTTGGGAAAATCATGCAGTGGAAAACAATTCTCTTGTACATGACCTATCTTCTAACAATATGCACATTGAGGGCGTCCTTGACAACCCCTTCCTCCTCTAGCATTATGTCCTCCTCTTCCATGAGCAGAGATCATAACAGGGGATTCCACATGTTCTTGAACGTTCCTGTTTTGGGAACCCTAAGAAACTTGGTTGTCAAGTTATCCATGGAGGGGACCTCTTGTCCAGTTAAAAGTTGATCTCGAACATGTTCAAAGTCAGGATGTATGACACAAATCATCATTACTGTATAGAACTTATCCAATTTCTTCTTTGTCTTTTAATGAATCATCCCTAGGAACATCTTTAGTTCTTCAATAGCCAATTGAGCTTTACAAAAATCATCTTTAGTTCTTTTAATGAAGGACATCATGTCATGATCTGACTGTTTAAGAGAAGCAAGCCAATTAGTTGAATTGTAGTGGTGTTGGATATCATTTACAAAAAATATTTTGAGTCTTTTTCCAAAAAGAGTTGCATGTTTTAAATGCTCTAAGGGTACCTAGTAACTTTGGTTTTACCAATTGCCATAGTAAGGCACAAAGCTGAGAGTCAGTTTGCTTCCCATTCAGTTTTATTGGGTGGTACAAAAGTTTTAGCTCTTTCAATGTGATCATGAACACATTGACCAAGGAACCACATTTCAACTAAGGCAGACTAAGAGATAATTTTTCCCATTCAGTTTTTCAGTTGTAATGGAAGGAGCTCCAATGAAGGAGACAAAGGGTCCAAAGGACATTTTGCTGGACACTGTTGAGACTAAGATCTTCAAATGGAGGAAAGACCTTGGGATTAGCTAAAACGGTTCAATGAAGGGAAAACACGCGTGGAGACCTTCAACCTTGTTGGAATAGAGAACTTAGGGCCGGAAGAGGATCTGGGTGGTCCGACAACACTTATGGATGACGTGCAGAGAGGCTCCAACAAAAGGAGGATGACACGTGTGGAGAGAAGTCGTGCGTGGCGGAGAATCATGGTATCGGACCGGCAGGGGTGGTCGTCGCTCGAGGAGATGATCCAAATCCGATGATCACCGGAGAAAACTGAATGGTGGCCGGCGTACAGATGGTGGTGGCCGAAGAATATGACAACGACAAATTTTTCATCGGAGGAGACCCTAGACCTATAGAGCAGAAGTAAACCCGCTTTGATACCAACTCAAGAGTGAAAAAAAAAAAAATGCTTTAGAGGACTTAATCACACCCCTCATATGATTCATTTATTTATATTGATAAAGTATATATATAATGAGTAAATGGAAAGTCAAGGAAACCTAGGTGCAGAGATAGATACAACTTATAGGTTAATAATTTCAACATATACTTTAAGATTTATATTTTGAATGAAAAACAGAAATTGATTTTAAAACATGTCTAACTCAAAAGAATGTCTTGACAGAGTTTTATTTATTTGTTTTAATCAATTATTTAATAATTTGATTTGGGTACACTCGTTTGTATTGCTTTACCAGAGAGGAGTAAAATGTTCCTTTTAGCATTTTCAATTTTTTATATTGTCTGTTTTCATATGAATGAAATAAATGTTTACAAACTGGCTTGTCTATTAATGTGTTAATATATGCCATTTCCATGTCTTATCTGTCCGTGCACAGGGGTATTTTGGAGCTGACTGAGGCTATTAAAGTTAAAGATGCTGAGGCAGAGGCATATATATCTGAAATTGAGGTTTGCTATCTGAATTTTTCTTCCCCTTCATACTAGATGACCAGCAATAAGTGTGAACAGGTTTACTTTAACTTCCATTTTTTGTGATATAATTCTATGATTCCTCTCGTGAAGACTATTGGTCAAGCATACGAAGATATGCAGACACAGAACCAAAATCTGTTGGACCAGGTGATCGAGAGGGATGACTATAATATTAAGGTATATCTTATTTTTCTCTTCAGTAAACACTATCTCACTGATCTTCACCATTTCCCATGAACTACAGTAACGCTTAGGTTTTTATCCTGGTGTTTTCTATTCTGGTTGATGAAAAATATTAGCTTCAACTTCATAGCTAATATATTAATTTTTGCTAATATATATATATATATATATGTCCATATTTTGAACTGATTATCCATGAATTCACCTGAAAAAAATTAGCATATCTGGTTAAGTTAATCATTTTTGAAGTGTCAAACTACTAAAGAGGATTTTATAGATTTAATCATTAGGAAGGTTTTTGGAGAACTTGTGGGCAGCATATCCTAGGATCAACTCGGGATAAACCTAGAAATTTGGGATAATCGATTTTTGAAAAATTCTTAGCCTAATCAATTTTCTCAAACATCATGAAATTTTGCTGTATGAATTGATTTTGGCAGGACAAAGTCTCACTCAAACAGGAAATTTATATGCACAGAAACTTGTGCCATTTACTAAATCCTAGTGATATTTGCTAAAATAATTCGAATTTTGGTTACTGATCATGTTTTTATAATATTCTATTTTAATGCAGCTTGTATCAGATAGTGTGAAGGCAAAACAGACGTACAACACTTTATTGTCCCAGAAGCAGGCCTTGACTAAGCAACTTCAACAACTTAATACTTCTATTGAAAACTCAAAGGCGAGGATTGCACACAGTGAAGAACAGGTCCAACTTAATATATTTGGAAATTGTGCTGAACAAATATGCTCCAGCAGCAGCTGCTTAATGTGTATTAAACAATTTTTGAATCCTGCAGATGAAAGCTATTCTATCTGAAGCCATTAAGTGTAATCAAGAAGAAAAACACCTTGCAGTAACCCTTGAATTTGCAAAGTGGGAATTGGCAGATGCTGAGAAGGAACTGAAGCTGCTCAAATCTTCTGTTTCGTCTTCAGAGAAAGAGTACGATCAAATTCAGAAAGACACTGAAGCTATTGAAATGGAATTGGAGAGTGAACGGTATGTTTTCTTTTCAAGGAGTTTGATTATACATCAAGTCTGGATCAGGGATAGATTTTCAAAGAAAAGTTTACATTGCCACAGCAGATACAATTTTAATTCTAATAATGATCTTAGAGACTTAAAATCCCAAGTTTTATGGAATTGATGGATTAGTAAGGTTGGTTAGCGGTTGAATACAATGCATCACAATATTGGAACTTCAGAATCTTGGTATATGTCGTGCAGGAGTTCAAGGAAGAAGCTTGAGGAAGAATTAAGGGAATTGAACAGCCAAATTGCTGAGCTGACTTCTGAAACTGGAGAAACAACAATACAAAAACTCGAAAAAGAAATAAGGATATGCAAGAACATGATCAAGTGTACTGTCTGCACTGATCGTCCTAAGGAGGTAACTGCAGACTGACTTATCCAATTACATACACTTGCTTTCATTGTAGTTAAATTGACTGGTATCAAAGAAGTATCATGATTGTTTTGAAATGAAGATAATACCAAGCTGATTTGAAATCTTTCTTGGACTTGCAACTGCATATAATATATGTAGTATCTACATTAGAATTTATCGTGACAGCAACGGGTAAAAGGTTGATGTGTGTATTTGGCAGGTTGTGATTGTCAAATGCTATCATTTGTTCTGTAATCCATGCATTCAGAGAAATCTAGAGCTTCGGCACCGCAAATGTCCTGCATGTGGAACAGCATTTGGACAGAGTGATGTTCGTTTTGTAAAGATATGAGACAGATGTTAAGATACCTTGAAGATAAGGGTTGATTTTATGTTATGGTTCCTTGGTCACTAGTGTTTTGATCATAGGTTCAAACAAGCATTCTTACTTCATGAGCAATATGAATATGTGCATTAAAGAAATCAGTTTTGGGTTGAGCAATGAATATATATATATATATATATATATATATATATATATATATATATATATATATATATATATATATATATATATATATATATATATATATATATATATATGCATGAGAGCAAAATGGGTGCATTTATTTACCGAGATAACTAGTCTATTTTCAACATTTTTTTAGTAACTTTTGCAAGATTTTAAACCCAAATTTTCTTTAAAAGAAGATAAGTTCATTGTCAAACTGATTAGAGAGACGCTGATGAGCCTTACTGTAACTACTTGAAGTATTTTTCAGAACCACTTTTTACAGAATAAAACCCTTTTTTCTTTGTTTAGATAGGAAGAAACGTTTACATATTTTACAATGAAACTTTTTTTAATGTTTTTAATGTGCTCAAACTTAGACATTAGAAGTTAGAACTATTTTTATGTGTTGTTAATGTGATCGTAACTAGCTTAATTAGTACCAGTGTAAGAAGCATTTGTTTTATGAGGCTTAATCGAGGTAAATAATTATTTTTCCTTTAAAATTGATTTAAAGTTTAAAAAGTATTACTCTTTAGCAAAATAAATCAGTACAAACACATTAGCTTTTCAAAAAACTTGATGGTAGAGAAAATGTGAAGGGACAGTTTTCTAAAAATTTTTAATTTAACTAACATCTATGATTTTGGTTTATATATTTATAAATTTAATCTTTTAGTTTTTTTATTTTTTATATTTATTTATTAATAATATATTATTTAACCTTTAACATCATTAGATTTATCAATATTTTTAATGTAAGTTTCTTTCTTTGTTTAGGATAATAAAATAAGAAAAAATTTTATTCTTTGTTTAGGATAATAAAATAAGAACAAAAATTATTTATAACCGAATTTATATATAAATTAATTTATAAAAACTCTCTCTTGTAATTAGTACATGAAAAGAAGATGAATTTAGAAAGAAAAAAATATTAGATATTTATAAAACATAAAAAAAAAAGAATTTTTTGAATTAGTGGTAGATATTAGAAATTGAGTAAAAAGGAAAACAGTCCAATTAAATAAATCTTGAATTATTTTGTTCAAAGTAAGAAAAATATATTGAAAATAATTATGTAAAATGGGTAGTGAAAAATATAGTAATTTTTCGAAGAAGATAAAAATGATAAGCTAAAGTTAAATAAAAAATAAATAAAATGACATAATTTAAAAAATAGAAGAAATAAATTCATCAATTCAATTAAGTTTTTTTAAAGGAATTATAAATACCTAAAACCTATTTGTTTTAATATTTTGGGCGTAAGCGCAAAGCGACGATAGTAGAAGTAAACGGTTTTCCCCCTGGCTGTGTGAGGCAGCGAACAGAGGTTGTCGTGATTTGGCGTCTGAAGAAGGGTTGTTGTGATAGTTTAGCATTGCATATGCAGCGATTAAGGAGTTCTGTGTTTTCGGTGCCCAACCTTAAGAAAAAGTATCTCAATTCACGGGCTGCCATTCAAGACACTTTTTTTTCCACCAAGGTTTTCTCTTTCTCTCTTTCTCTCTTCATCGATTCCCTCTTCATCTTACATGTTTGTGCTTTCTAGGATACGTTTGAGAGACATCGCGTGGTCTTCACTGTTGGAACTTCCATTGCTTCCGTTGCCACTGCTTGGTTCGGTCTGTCTCTTCTCTCGTTTCATCTCTTTCCTTCTTTGCCTATTAATAACACCAACTTATTTATTTATTTATTTTCAATTTCTCAGGTTACACCTTGCGCCATTTACATGACACCAAAGTAGATCAAAGACTGCAGTCCATTGAAAATGCTGTATGTTTATGCATCTCTTTGCTTCTATTATTGCTTTTTCTTCCTCTTGCTTCATCTTTATATGATGTGTTCTGTTGTGTTTCTGTCAGGTGAAAAGCAATTCCAATATCCAACATACCGAAATCAGAGACATTGTCGCGGGTTCCGGAGGTTTTAGCATTCCTGCTTGTGTCGCTACTGCTGGAACCTCCTTGGTTATCGGGTTTGTTTACTCTCTCCACACTCACAAACAACAACATACTCTTTAATATTTCCACTGCATCAATCTTTCATTATTGGTAGCAATTTGGCATTGTTTCATTAGTGCAATCATTGTGGAATACAAACAAAATTATGAATATTGGGGGTTGATAAATTTTGTAGTTAATTCACCAAACATGAAAGATAGTAGCATGCCATGACGGTTATTATTTATGACGAGGATTGCCCGAAATTATTTGTTGCTTGTAATGTATCCAACCTTGCTCTGTTGGAAAAGGCTTGGGTTGCTGTATAATTGTAATGTTTTGATTATAAACTTGAGAGATATTTAATTCAATTTTACAAAACTGGTTGAGTAAGTTGAGGTTTGGTTTTACCTCGATAATACTATGTTATTTTATATCTCTAGTCAATGTGGTATTTTTCAACCCATCCTCTCACGTCGAGCATTAATCTTTCATCACACTTCTTTGTATCAACACACTCACACTTTTCTGTATTAAGGATAAGTGGTTCAATATTGGTATGATAATGAGTGGTTCATTTCACAACCATTAATGAATAGTATCCTAATATCGCCAGAATTAGTTCTATTACTATCTTAAAAATAGAGAGGTACCTAACTTAATTTTACAAAATCGGTAAAGTTTGTCGTTTATATAATATAATATTATTGTATCTTTAGTAGACGGGGATTTTAAAACATAAACTGCAGAGATTAAGTGAAATTAACAATTACAAAAGTTTGGTTGTGTACAGCTGTAAGTTCCTTTTATAGCAGAAAGCTCTACCCTTTCAGTCTTGACACTTGATCTCTTATTCAAATCGTTGTGAATCTTTTTGTCCAGCAGTTTGCATGGATTAAATTAGAATGCTTGATACTTAAGGTTGAACAGTACTTAAATCAGGTGGTTCAATTTTCCAACTAGAAAGATGTTTGGGGTTTTGACAAGTTTGACATTGACTTTCAAATGCGTAATAGTGAATACATCTTCCTTTTTTGGCTGCACTTGGGTTGGGACTGTGTATTCTGTAAGGCTAGGCAGACTTATTTTCAAACTAGCACCCTCTTGAAAACAAATTGCAGAAAGAAAAGAGAGAGAGAGAGAGATAAAACAAAATTTCAAGGAAAGTTGGACACTGATAAAATTATATGTAAAACTTTGCATGTTAGTAGACTAAATTTTAGATTTTTTTAAGTGGTTGAGTTTGCCATTCTGATTCTGGCATAACACAATTCTGCTGGCTCAAAACCCTGATATTGTTTAGGTTCTTCACACCTACAATTAAATCTATGGCCCCGGCATTGAGCAAGTTTACTTTACATACCATGATGCCGCCCTTGTCTACAAACCCCCTACCAATTTATCTATTTTGATATTTTTCTTGGATTTCTCTTTATGTGTTGGGGAACATGGCATAGGACATAGTTTGTGCTTAGAGATTTAGGCACCGTGAGCAAGGTAAATATACTGTGAGGAGGAATATGGATCACCAAACTAAAAGGTTACATGAATGATTTCATGAATTACAACTTCATAGGGGGGATATATAACTGTCAAACTCTTTAACATTCCATTTCTTATATCTGGGTTTTGCTTTCTCAAACTTAGATAATTCCTCAATAGTTGCTTCTGAATTTGGAATATAGTACTTGTATGATGTCAAATTTATTCTCGTACATCTTGGGTTGATCTAAATGTTTGATGCCTCAGTTAAAAAAATCACTTGAAAAAATGTTTTAATCAGTAAAAGGGAATATTGCCATGTTATATGGCATCTGTTAGCCTCTATGAAATCGTGATTACAAGATCTTAGAGGTAAGAGTATTGAATTTGACCTTTTTTTATTGATTGTATGTGTTGGTATCCATGTTTGATGTGAACAAGTTTCCTCTCTTAATGTGTTGTTGCTTGCTTCACAAGCCACGCACATTGACTCTTATTCTTTTGATATATTGCAATTAATGGATTTAAACATTTTAATCTCCTTTTAGCTATAAGTTCTTATTTCAGCTGATATACAGGTATGCCTTGGGATGGAAAGGTGGAAGCTGGTATGCAGCTAAGAAGTTCAGAAAGGAGCAAATGAAATTGCTAGGACAGATTACACCTAGAAGATGGCAATTTCTTGGGAAGATAAAAGCTAAAGGGTTGCAATTCCAATTCCTTAGAAGGAACCTTACAAGATCCAAAGTGACTGATACTGCGGTGCAAACATCTGAATCAAGTATATAGGATGCAGTTACCACACATACTACTGGAAAATCCAATTAGTATAGTACTGTAAAAGGGTTCTTTGAGCAACAATATTGATAAAGATGGCTGCCGATGCTGGATTAGGCATTCAATTAGATAAACAGTATAGGAACGTGGTTATAACCAATTATCATTAAATTTTGCACTGTGGAGTGCTTAGCTTCATAAATTCTTCACCCTTCATGTGAGGAGTGCTTTAGAAACTTGTGTTCTATTTTGATTGATAAATTTATAATGGAGTAAAGACATATCCTTTAACTTTGGTGGGTCTTGTAACTAATGAATTTTCATCACGAACTTAGTTAATCATCACCACCAACATAAAAATACCTTTAACTTTATTCATTTTAGATTTAAATATGTTTTTAAGTAACTACCAAAATAATTTGTGACATTTTTAAATTTATTATCATTAATTATAGTTAATTTTACATTAAATATGAAATAATATTAATGTGATTAAGATAATACAAAATTTAATTAAATAATACGTTTTCTTATTTAATATAAATAAAATATTAATATTTTTTTAACCAATAATTTACTTTCAATATTGTATTTATTAAAAATTATGGTAATCTAGACACAAATATAAAAGAAGTTTTTATATATTATTTTGATAAATACATTTTAAATGATTGTAAAATAATTTATTTTCTAATATGTTACAAGGGTTTCATCTTGAAATACAAAAATAATGAAATATATTTTATATTTTTAAGAATTAATAATTAAAATATATTAAAATATATTTAATATTAAAAAGAGTTATTATTTTTCCTTTACACAATTCAAAACTAATATATTATAAATATATAACTATTAATATATTTTTTATTTTAATAAAATTTTATGCATAAAAACTAATATAAAATTTATTGTTCATATTATATTAAAAATACAAAAATATATATATTTGTGATTATTTATTTATAAATAAATATAAAATATAATACATAATCTAATTATGCAATTAAAAAATAATCTTAAATTTATATTGTTATAATAAATTAGGCATAGTTAATAATGAGGATTACAAGAAATAGAAAAAAATATCAAATATTTAAAATTACCAAAAAAAAATTATATAAGTAAAATAAGACAGGATAATATTAATAGAGACTTAAAGAATGTCTAAATAAATTATTTTATATAATTTTAAATTCTGTAAGGATAGAAAGCAATAATTATTATTTTTATATTATATAACTTTAATCTAATATAATCATTAATTATAAACATATAAAGCATGTTTTGTTACTTTATGTTCAGGTATAAAATCTTTGTTTATGTATATTGATTTTTTTACATAATAATTCAATGTATACAAAACAATGCGCTCTTAGTAAAATATAATTAATTTAAATACAGATACAGTATTTTAAGTAAACTATTGAATGAAAAATAAAAATAACATGTGTAATTATGTGTCTAACAACACAATTATCTTAATTTGAAATTATTTTTGTCACCTTAATTATATTAAATTACCTATAGTTAATGATTAAAAAATAAAAAAGTTTAAAATATTCAGATATTTAAAATTAACAAATATTATTTTTAAGGACTAAAGAAAAATCTAATTATATTTATAGAGACTAAAAATATATTTAAGACTTTTATTGTAATTATTGTTTGTTTATCAATACCTTCTTTTCACATCTTTAAAATTCAAAAACATAAATTAAAAAATACTTAATAGAAATAAAATATTAATATATTTGGACTAAATTTTCTTATCGAGTGCAATGATTTTTTATGTCTATATTATTTTGAGAGTTTTAAATATTTTTCTTGTAATTTGAAAAATATAGGATACTTATTAATTAAGTTAATGTGCTGATATGGCCAACGTGTGAATACATCTCTTAATTCCATGTGTCTGGTAAGTTAAGCCTTCTGGTGTAGTTATCCAATGCCTTATTTGGAGGCAAGGCCTGGTTTGCTTTGTGGTACAGAACATAGAGTAAGTATTACGTAATAATTTGTTCTAAGCACATGTTTTGGCTTTTTATCCGCGCCATATTGGTGTGTTCAGGAGTCACCTCTGCAGTGAAAAACCATCCACACATTTCTTGCAAAGTTAAAGAACCGTGGCAACAAAGTCCAAAAATTCCTTAAATTTAATAGTGGCTCCTTTGTAGACCCCACATATACTTTTGTTTAAACCACTGTTGACAAAAGGGTGGTTTAAAACCCCTCATGTGAATACCTTACTCCTATTATTTTTTCCTGTTTTCTGCGTGTATAAATAATGTCTGGATTGGGAAGATTAATGTACCAGGGAACAGAACATGGCCAACACACCACTCTCAACAATCCTTGTGATTCTCTTCTGGGGTTTAACTCTTGCAGCTGGAAGAAAACTTTCACCACTTAGCACTACACCCACAACATTGTCCTCAGCCCCCACTGATGGTATTTGCTCATCCATGGTGAAGACACAAGGCTATACTTGTGAAGAACACGTGGTATGTACTGTGCTCGCATCTGTTTCCGTTTCTGATCAGAAATCAGCAAGATTTAGAGCAGCTAGTAGCTACTAACTTTCTTATTATGTAATGTTTTTTAGGTGACAACACAAGATGGCTATATTCTTAACTTGCCAAGAATTAGAGTGGGAGAATCAAGGGGGCCACCTGTTCTTCTGCAGCATGGGCTTTTCATGGTTACTAAAAGTTTCATGAGCGACATTTTGTCTTGGATTTTGTTGTTGATGTTGTCAATTAACGTGATGCCGTGGTTGCAGGATGGCATTACATGGTTATTACTACCTTCAAAGCAGTCTCTGGCATTTCTTTTGGCGGATAATGGCTTTGATGTTTGGGTTGCTAACACACGTGGAACCAAATATAGCCGGCAACATACAACTTTAGCTACGAATAGCTCGGTCAGTTTTGTCTACTAAATGTTAATGTACTTCTATGGTCAGCAATTTGTTTGGTTCTATTGCTTATATCAGTGTTATTCTTTAGGATTATTGGAATTGGTCATGGGATGAATTAGTTGCATATGATCTTCCAGCCACATTCAAGTATGTGCATGATCTAGCTGGACAAAAGTTGCACTATGTTGGTCACTCGCAGGTGAATTTCACATGCTACACTTTGTATTCTTGTCTTTGACTTATTCAATGTGATGCTGACTGCAGACCGTTTGATTCTTTTGTAGGGAACTTTGATTGCATTGGCTGCTTTTTCCCAAGATCAGTTACTGAACATGTTGAGATCAGCCGCCTTGCTTAGTCCAATTGCTTATGTTGGTCAGATGACTTCACCCCTAGCTAAAAATGCAGCTGACAACTTCATTGCGGAGGTATCTAGTTATAAAAAAGCTTTTACTTTTGCCCAAAGAAAATTAATGTTTTAAATTCAAAAGATTGACACTGAAAATCTGTGTTTTCCTCTTAACAGTCACTTTACAATTTTGGAATCTTTGAATTTAATATGAGAGGGTAAGTAACACTTATTATCCATCATTCATCTCTCTGCACTTGATTGCACTGTGGCTAAGAATAAGAAGGCTGCGAAGTTACTTCCTCCTAGTTCTTAAATGTTGTAAGAAAATACTTTGCAGACATTTCTCAAAATTCTTAGTCAGTAGAGTAAGATCAGATTCAGAATCCACCATGATGTGAAATTGTGCTTTCCATTGAATGTAAAATTTAGCTTAAGAAAACCACAATTGGATCGTCCAAACTTAAATGCATCATTACATTAGTCTTTCAAACATTTTAGTCACCAAATTACTCCTTCGAAGATTCCTTTTGTCACCATTTTAGTCCTTCAAAGATTTTGTCACTGAAATATTCCTTCAAATGTTTAATCTATAACCAAATTTGACAAAGAGTTATTCTTTCACCACTTTATTTCTTCAAAAGGACCAATATGCTGATATTTTAATCTCTGATAGATTAATTTGGTGATAGATTAAATCTTTAGAGAATTAGTTTAGTGACAAAACCTATGTAGGACTAATTCAGCCATGTTTTAAATTTTTGAGGAACTCTTTTGGTAAATTTTTTTTTATTAAGACATGATAATACATGTAACTTTGGAGAATGAAATGGAGAAATAAGCCAGTTTATGACTAATCTTGTGACTCCAACCTTAGCAAGATTTATATCACTTAATTTTTCTGATGTTTGAATAGGGTCTCTGTTATAAAGTTTCTAAAGGACTTGTGCAATAACACAGGCATTGACTGCACCAACTTGTTGACCTCTTTCACAGGTTGCATTCATGTTCTTATTCATCCATTATCCAACAACCAAAAGAAATCGCTTTATTTAACACTTTGTTTCCTACATTGACAACACTATTATGCTTTTAGGTCCAAACTGCTGCCTGAACCCATCCATTGTAAATATTTTTTTGGATCATGAGCCTCAGTCAACAGCAACAAAGAACATGATTCATCTATCTCAGAGTAAGTTGTTCTATTTTCCTAATTTAAATAGAATGCAGAGACCAATATATCCTATACTTATGATAAAAAGGAAGCATATATAGTTAGCATAGATATTGAAAATTTAACTGGAAACGGCTGTTAATGAGAAAAAAGTTTGTTTTTGATGCGAATGTATGGATATCAGTGATCAGAGGAGGAACCACTTCAATGTTCGATTACCAGAATCAAGATGAGAACATAAAACACTATGGACAACCCACTCCTCCAGCATATGACATGACAAGACTTCCAAATGACCTTCCTCTCTTCCTGAGTTATGGAGGAGCTGATGCTCTTTCTGATGTTAAGGATGTGCAACGTCTATTGGAAATTCTCAAAGATCATGACGCAGATAAGCTTGTAGTGCAGTACAGAAATGATTATGCACATGCAGATTATGTTATGGGTGAAAATGCTTATCGAGATGTCTATCAACCTCTTATATCTTTCTTTAGGCTTCAGTGATATCTAGTGAAAAAAATACTCCTTATAGAATTCTATCATAACCTTTCTCGATATCATAGAATTGAATAGCACAGAAATGTCAGTATGTAATTTAACAGAAGATGATATTATTAAAGGAAATTCCTATAATCTTACTTCTATATGTCAAAAAATCTGGATGGTTTTTTATATACACTTATAATCATGAGTTTACAGTATTTCTGGTGGAGCAAATTCTCTCTCTTTCTCTCTCTTTGGTATTTTCTTGGTAAGCAATTTTAACCATTCTTAAATGTAGCTTAAGATTTTTATAAAACCACAAATCCATGGTTCCGTATTGTATCATCAAGATTCTACAACATACTTTGAGATTGATTCATCATCATTAAACTTCAATTAAATCATCAGAGGGATTTCTCATATCTATAACTAGGACAGTTTAGTTTGAGACAGCACATTTTTGCTATTTAGAACTTGTGACTCTCGTATGACCATAAAAAACTTCAAGAAGAACGAGTCATGCTCAAGGCATACATACTCATACTAGCAAAACAGTTTTAATTTGATGAGTCTGTTTTCTGATGTTTTGGCTCATGGCTGATTTCCCTTGTTAAATACATAGCAAGCCACGCGGAAGTTCAATTTGTTAATGGATTCAATTAGACTTGTCCACAGTTTTGTGCCTTGCAAGTTAATCAATGTGATATTGTTTTCTTCTTTTCCGATTTATGTTAAGTTGCTCAGATATTGGCAAGAGACTATGGAACAAATCTTAGGTTGAAATTGTGAGGGATTTGGTCTGTGCAGCAATTGGTGAAGCAGAACACTATTTCTGGTCCAAAGGTTTTGTTTAGGCCTTGAAGAAGGGGAAATGAAAAAGGTGCAAGACCATGCTAAAAGGCTAGAAGGATCTATTAATCCTGATATTGTTGTTGAGAAAGAAGTTAATTTTCATAAATAAACGATAATATCTCACACAGATTCATCTTACACAGTTATTCCATTGTTCTAAAGTGCAACTAGAGTGGTGATTAGAAAATTATCAAATTGTGATTAATTAGATATTTCATGTACACGAAAGTGTAGAAATGTTAAAAATCATGCTCTTTTTGCGGGTTATTGGCATTCGCTACGCATTGTATGTACAAGACCACGAAATTTCAGCATTACAGGCTCTGGAAAATGAGAAACATTATGGGTTTGGAAGCAATTTTCTAGCAAGAGGTCCAGCTGATGAAAAAAAAAGCTAGAGCCATCATATTTATAAAGATATGTTATGATGTCATAGACTTAGAGAATCTAGCTAAATTGAAGTTTGTAGGGCCCCACACGGTTCATGAGACTCCAAATCTTGTTTATAATTGGAATTTTAAATAAATCTTCTTGATCTTGAAAGGAAAATTATTATATGGTTTGAAATTATTGTGACCCTAATTAATCATTTTGATATATAACTGGGTTTTATAAATTGAAAAAGTAATCTATTTTGTGATTTGCTTATATATTTAATTATTTTAACTAAAATAATTTTTTTTATCATTCAAAAGTTCTTCCACTAAAGTGAAAATATGATTCTAAAACATGAGTAGCTTGATTTACGTATTAATTTCTTTAAATATGTGTTTGAGTGGTTATTTATCACTTGATCTTCATGCTTCCATCTTATTATGTATTTAATTTTAAAAGATTATTCTTACATCCCCTGATGGCGCCAAGTCACTATATGTTTTTGTATTAAATTCCAATGATTTTGGCAACCATGAATTCAATGATACATAATATATATCATTTGATTGATACATAATAATTAATTCATATATCCTTGATTAATATATTAATTTTAGGGACATAACTCTTGATACTATTGACATTTCCTTTTAAAGATATATATATTCTTTCCATCATTTTTATTTGTTTAGTCTTGTGTTGAAGGTTTTTGTGGTTAGCTTGCCTTTTTCTCATGCAGTGATTGTACATACATATTTAGATCACTTTATCATCGAGTTCAACAAGATATAACTACAATATGAAACAACTGACTCAAACACATTGAATGCTACATTGTGACTCTCATTTTTAACACAAAAAATAAAGTTTATAGTGTATTTTTTACTAGACAATGGAAGATATGAAACCAAAAAACCATTTAAACACACTTTAAAGAAATTAATATGTAAATGAAACTATTAATTAACTAAAATTTTTATAACTTACAAATGAAAGGATGAAAAATAACAATTAAGTGTTATGATTCCATATTCACGTGAAAGACTGTGATTAGAATAAGATGAAATTGTTAATCTCCCTTCCCTTCTTCGAGCATGCATCGATACATAATGAAATGTATCTTAACTAGAATCAATTGATATATATTTTAATAACTTGTTTTGTTTCACGTTTTTCTTTTTATTAATCTTAAATATATTGGATTCACATCAAAATAATTTGTATACAAATGATGTCTTATGAACTTATAAATTGTGTTAGTTTACCTGAGTTGGATAATGCTAGCTTGTAACCTAAATAGGGGCATTAAATTGATGGAACAGAGTTTGGTCTATCTTGGGTTGGGTTGGTGAATCTTTATGCTTTTGCCCATTCCAACTTAAGAGTTGGGCAATGGGATTTAGGCTAATGGATAGAACAGAAAAATACTTGAAGATTCAAATAACATATTATTATTTTCATTTTTTTTAGCACACAACAAATCAAATTTAAACATAAAAATATTAAATATAAGAATTATGAATCATTCATCATCAAAATCAATTTTAACAATATGAACAATACAATTTCAGAATCAATATGAAACCATGAATCAACATAGGGATCCTTGTTTCCCAATTTTATAGAATGAAGCAACTCTTTTAAAATTTATGTACTGGAGATATCCTTAAATCTTTTGTTTCTCCTATTCTTTACTGGTGGATAGAGATAATAAGTTATTGTATTTTCAATCCAAAAAAAATCTAGTGTGTCAAACTCATGAATCAATTTTATTTTATTTTTGTCATTTTCTCTTAATTAACCATTTTTTACACTATAGATTATTTGGATCTAAGATCATCCAATGATAAGGTTAAGGATAGTAATTACAATTCACTCAATTAAAAATATATTTAAGTATTGTTAAATATTGATGAGATATCTTATATGTAGAAAAAATATTTATTATTTATTTATGTATATTATATATATATATATATATATATATAAGATTTTAAATTCTAATTACCAACAAAATTATTTATGAAATTAAATTTATTATTTAATGTTTCAACGTGTTGTTGAGAAATACATAAAAAAATCATTATATTTAATTCCACAAACAAAAAATAATATCTAGATCAAGTTATCTTAATTAAGTTAAGATAACATCTCAAATAAAATATTATTTTACGAAAAAAAAGTGCCAATTGATTTTTTTTTATTAATTGGTTTTATTTTTTAACGACAAAAAAGTTTAAGAAAATATCAATATAATTATCTATATATAAAAAATTCACTTTTTTTCAATATATATATATATATATTCCCAACACTCCAAATACTTTACTGCACTAGTATTTAAATTTTTATTTAGCAATCTAACTCAATTTAGAGTAGATTATGTCGTTTGGATTGAATAATTAAAAAAAAATTATTTGATAAAATAAAATATCTCAAAATAAACATTTTTATTTTTTTTATAAATAGGATAATAAATATTTATAATTAATATAATACTCCTATGATAAAAAAAAATTGTATATATTTTTAATAAACTTATAAAATAACTTATTATTATGTATTCAAGTTTTGTGAAATTCGTTAAATTTAAAATGTATAAATATATTATACAACTCAATTCTAATTAAGTGAACTAAATAAAAATCAACTTAAAATTAAAAAAAATTCCCTTATATCTCAAATTTTCACTATAAAAGAAATAAAGAAATCAATAAAAAAATTATTCAAATTCAAATTTAGAAAAAAAAATCGTAATCCTTAATTTCATGCGATACCAACAATTATATAAGAATTTTCTGTCGAAAGTAATATACTTTTATTATAAGAAAGTTTATTTGCCAACACGAGTGTCTGACGTGTAAGTAAATAATTGGATGACACACGTAGCATTAGTAAGTGGTCGAACAGACAAAACCAGGAAGGGTTCTTTCTTCCCAGCGTAGATGCGGAGTGCATTGAGTGAGAGAAAGACAATGCCAATGTCTCATTTTCGAACACCATTTTCATTTCCTCTATTGCTAATCATCTTCAACCTCGTCCCTTCCTACGCACTCTATGGAGCATCCTCGCCCGTGCTTCAACTTACTCCCTCCAACTTTAAGTCCAAGGTGAATTATGTTTAAATCCAAACCCTTTCCTCAATGCTCCATTTCTTGATCTCACTGTATGTGGCACTTTTTCCAAATGGATATTTCGTGGAAACTTTAAATTTTGCATCTTTGTTCTTGAAATCCATCTGGGCATGAAGATAGATATCTGTGGCGTTGTGATGTGATTATAGTTTTGATGGCTGAAATCAAGGTTCATGGCAGGTTCTAAATTCAAATGGAGTTGTTCTTGTTGAATTCTTTGCTCCATGGTGTGGACACTGTCAGGCTCTGACTCCTGTATGGGAGAAGGCAGCTACTGTGTTGAAGGGCGTGGTTACTGTGGCAGCACTTGATGCTGATGCTCACAAGTCTTTGGCTCAGGTTGTGTATTGCTCTTTATTCATAAATGCTTTCATTTTTATATTTAAGGAAATGTTGAAATCTGTTAAATGAAGACTATGCTCCATTTGTTCTTTGGTTCTTGCAATCGGCCTTTCTGAAATATGAAGATGCTATATTATATTCTCGACTTTTATGTGTAATGTACTATGGAATTGCCTGATGGGAAACACGGCTTCTTATGCATAAACGTTTGAGCTCTTGGAACTGTTTCAAATAATCGAATGTGACCAATTGAATTGGACATAATCTATTATTTAGATGACTTGTTTGTTTTATAGAATATCAAACTGCCATAAATGTTGTATGCGAAAAGGTTTTCCTTGCTTTTGGATGTAGTCCCATTCTCTTTTTGTGTAAAGCAACAGAAGAATATAGTACCTGTACAAGATAGAATATCCATTTGGAGATTCTTTCTTTTCCTGTTGCTCCGTAACATCTGTCATATATGCATGAGATTCATTTACTTGTAAATTTTACGTTAGGATTTACATGTTTGTTATTATAACTTTATATTGAAAGTTTAAAAAATCTTTTCATTTGTTTTCTTGATTTCCCACAGGAATATGGAATTAGAGGATTTCCAACTATAAAAGTGTTTGCTCCTGGAAAGCCCCCGGTTGATTACCAAGGAGCCAGAGATGTCAAACCAATTGCTGAATTTGCACTTCAACAGGTTCGTTGGAATCTAGCGGGGGTTACTTTTAATCGTTCCCCCCCCCCCCCAACATTTTTCTTAATCTAATATTTCGGGTGTTGTATGAGAAGTGTTGTTGCTTGTGTCATGTATAGAGTGGATATATCTCCTCTTTTGTAACAAACAAAACAATATCTTGGAAAAAAAATTCCAGTAAATAGTATACCTTTACTCCAAATTATTGCCTCCTTATATTATTCATGTACAGGTAAAGGCTCTTCTAAAGGATAGGTTAAATGGAAAAGCTACAGGGGGATCAAATGAAAAGACAGAAACCAGTTCTTCAGTAGAATTAAACTCTGGAAACTTTGATGAATTGGTCCTCAAAAGCAAAGAACTCTGGATTGTGGAATTTTTCGCACCATGGTAATTTTGGATATTATGATCTATTATTACCTGACTGAACCTAAAGTATTCCTCCTTCAGATTTGTAGCTCTACTAACATTTGTCCTCTTTTGTATCCCCAAGGTGTGGCCATTGTAAAAAATTAGCTCCTGAGTGGAAGAAAGCATCCAATAATTTGAAAGGGAAAGTTAAACTGGGCCATGTTGACTGTGATGCTGAGAAGGTAATCTTATACATCTAAGAAGTTTATAAGAACTGGTCAAAACTCCTATGCCTGTGATCTAGATGGTCACTGCATGTCTTTTAATTTATTTATTTTTTCTTACTTCTTGTTAAGGGTAAGCCTCTTATTTCTGTCTTATCTTATAATATTTTATTATGCCCTTTAGTTTATATTATTCTGACAAGAAAAAATTGTTACCAGTCTCTAATGAGCAGGTTCAAAGTCCAAGGATTCCCAACAATCTTGGTATTTGGTGCTGATAAAGATAGCCCTATTCCTTATGAAGGCGCACGAACTGCTGCAGCTATTGAATCATTTGCATTAGAGCAGCTGGAAACAAATGTTGCTCCCCCAGAAGTGACAGAGATACACAGTCCAGTGAGCATGTTCTCTCCTACCTACTTAGTTGTGCATTGGTTTGAAGGAGAGGATATAAGATAATGGATTTTGCTAAAGATCAGTGCCTAAAGGGCACTGATTATGAAACATTTATTTAATATATATATATATATATATATATATATATATATATATATATATATATTCTATTAAATGATTTCAATTATTCACTGAAAAAATGCATTCAATGATAATTAACATGAACCTTCTCTATAGGATGTTTTGGAAGAGAAGTGTGGCCCTGCCGCAATCTGTTTTGTTGCGTTCCTTCCTGACATTTTGGATTCCAAGGCTGAGGGGAGAAACAGATATCTTCAGCAGTTATTATCAGTTGCAGAGAAGTTTAAAAGAAGTCCGTACAGGCAAGTAAAAAAGAACATTTTGCTTACAAGTTAATATGCATTTCTAAATTTGTTTGTTGATTCTCTCAGTGTTGCAAATTCTTTATTTGTGTATATTTTAATAAATATTTGTTGGCGAATTCTTAACATTTTTTTAATTGAATTTTTTTGTCTTGAGCAGCTATGTCTGGGTAGCTGCAGGGAAGCAGCCGGATCTTGAAAAGTATGTGGGTGTTGGTGGATATGGTTATCCAGCTTTAGTAGCCCTTAACCTTAAGAAAGCTGTTTATGCTCCTCTCAAGAGTGCTTTTGAACTTGACCAAATTATGTAAGTTTACTCCTTCGAACTTTATGCTAAATACTAAACACACTATTGAGATGAACAACTTCTCAAACAATACCTATCTATCTTCTACAGAGAATTTGTGAAAGATGCTGGGCGTGGAGGCAAAGGGAATTTACCCCTGCAAAGCACTCCAACCATTGTAAAGACAGAACCATGGGATGGAAAAGATGGAGAAATAATTGAGGAGGATGAATTTTCTCTTGAAGAACTAATGGGGGAAGATGCTTCAAGCAAGGATGAGCTATGATCAATTGAGAAGAAAATTATAGCAAATTAAAGTTTCAACCACCGATTTTTGCATTACAGGCAATATGTTTCTCATGATGATTGTGATCACTGTTCTGTTTTTCCATCTTCCAAGTTAAAGACCAGTCTAGTGATGTGTGATCTTTGAAATATGCCAGTCAGTGGTGTACTGATAGGAAAATACTTCCTTTCGATCTTTTCTTTTCCCTATCGATTAGCATTTTGATCTAACAGGGTTATCTTCATAACAAATGAACTTTGAAGAACTGTATTTTGTAATTCTGTATTCTCTTCGATTTTATGTTTAGAAAATATATTCTATAAAGAAAAAAGATAAATTATATAAAAGATTTTTAACAATACTTTAATAACGAAGAGATTCATATGAACTTTTTTTCTTATTTGCTTGAGTTATTATTTTAGATTCTTATATTAAAACAAAATAAAAACAAGAATTAGAACAAAGAGTAAATCAAAATATAAAAAAATTATATTAATATTACTTAAATCTTAATTTCTAAAATTTAAATAATGATATATTTTTTTATTTAAATAATTTTAAAAATGAAAACATTATTACAAAATCTCCTAGAAACTAGGTTATTTAAACTGGAAGTAAAGATATTTAAATATATTGTCAATAATATACATTAACCATTAATAAATAGGTGACGTCATTGGGATATAAATCTTGGGTACGGTGGATGACTGAGATAAATCCATATCTTATATTGGGATCCATGAATATTAATTAGAATGTAACAACATAAAAAAAATGAGAATAAAACAAAAATTTAAAACATTTTTATGGAATAGAATTTAGCTGACACAATTTATAAGATTTTGCAAATAAATGTAAATACATTATACATATTTTGAAAACACGTAAAATATATGAGGGTTTACGCGATTTAGCTAACGGTTACATTCTGTTGTATATAATAAGATATACCTAGCTCCGGCATCCTAAACAATAGGTATCTCTACGACATTTTCAGATTTCAGTAATGCATTTTTCCTGACTTTCATTTCTCTCTGGTATTTATAGCACTCGCGGGTACGATATTTTTTTCAGTAATACATTTTTCCTTAGGTTCATTTCAGGTATAGGCATCTTTCTTTAACCAAGGCTAATTTTAATGAATAATTGTCTTATCATTGACCGAATATGTGTTAGATGTAGCTTTTAAGGCAGACGAAAAAATTTCCTTGTTAAACCTCCATCCCTAGGTTACGTCTGACCTCCTAAATCATAAAAAATAGTATACTTCTGTGGCTAGTAATTTATACAGCTATGGGTTAAACATAAATAAAATCAACAAATCATTTCTATTACATTCAAAGTCGATACTCCGATACTGACATGATCGCCATGTAGTCAATTGCACACTGCACCAAATGTAATATTTATGACGTAATAATGCGAATCACATCACCTGAAAAAAATTCTATTTCTAACATTTGAGCGACAAACGCTTATCTATCTGCACCTAAAAATGGTCTCACTGAATCTGAATCGCAGTTACACGTATGTATCTACCATTAGGCTGCTCTACAATGGAAACAAGGCACAAGTCTTCACCAAACCCCTCCCTACCCCTGCTCTTAACGGTAAAGGAAGAAAAGATGTAAAAACGACTATCCCTCATCCAGCACAGAATTATGTCAACAAAATTTTCACCGGGAAGCTTCCTCATCAGAAAATTTATCAGCGCGAATCTGCTTCAAATCTGAACTGCCTGCTACCCGTAGTATTTGGAATGGCAGCTCAAACTCGAAGCCTTTTACCGGGTGATCGATCATCTCTGAATCTCAAACTCTAGTGTGTTCTTCGTGATTTATATATTCAGTACGAAGTAAGATGAATCCTAAAAGCTCGCATTTTGTATCCTCATTAAACAATCTTTTCTTAAAGGTGAATCCGTAAATATAGCTTTTATGAAATCTCCCACCTACCAAAAAGGTCAATAATCGACATATAAGAGACATTACAAGCTCATCACATACGGTTCTAAAACAAAAAGGACAAGATATCAGAGATCAGGGCATTTAACATAAATTTTTATAGAACAAAACGTATTGGTGAGCCAAATGTAACAAACCACTCAAACAGTTGTTATTTCCTATAGTAGCAATTTGATCCACATATTTTTCTCTTTAAAAAGGAGTATTTGATATGGAAGAGGAAAAAAATTCAATTACAGGAAAATAAAGAAAGAATTGGTAAAATAACGAGTCCCGTCAAATGCACATACGCAGTGATCTCTCTTGGTAACACAATGGGATAAAGTTTATATCTAAGATCAGAATTGATTTAAAGTGAGTAAGGCTGCACTCCTCCTTTAATTTTAGTAAGTTAACATCGCGATTCCCTTAAAGTAAATGATTATTAGCTCTTTAGTGGTGCCTTGTCTTGTCCAAACAAAAGGAGGTTTGTACTTAACTTGGAACCAAAAGCTTCCTTCAGGATTCTACATTTTGAGAATATAAACTTGGAACATTGAATATTTGGTTTGAAATTATTAGAATGTAGTAAAAGAAACATTGGGAAGAGAATTCAAGACTCTACATAAAGGTGTTTTTCTAAGAGATATATAATGAAAATATTAATATAGGTAAATTTTAGGTCACTGACTGATTGAAGCATTATCATAAAATTACAATCTAAGATCAGGGTTTTAAAATTACAATCTACGTTGACGTCAATAAACAAATAATACCTCAGTTATTGTAAAGCCACAAGAGAGTAATTCTTTATTCTCCCATGATGCTGTAATGGATTTTAAAGGCATATCTAATAATTCTGAGGAAAATGAAAGATGAATAGGTCAGCTGTCAACAGATAATAAGTCAACGATAACTCAATCAATCTCTTTAAAGGAAATAATTGAGAAGATGCCACAGCATACCTGACAGTTTCTGGATTTTACGTAAGGATGGGATTGAATCTTCAAGAGACTGTGCAGGGAACTCGTGTAAATTCTGCTCTCCAGGGGCCAAAGATTCAAATAATGATAATAGGTTTTCCAGCATTAATTGAATAAGTCTTTGTAGCTGAAAATATGAGTGAAACAATGCATAAGACAACTAATGGAATACAATCGTGCAACTACAAGCATTAATTAGTTGACTTCCGGTATAAATTCTACCTGTAAAGTCTCCTCTGCAGCTATGTCGTCTAGCAGAAGTATATCTCTGGCAATTCTTGAGAAAACTGATTCTAAGACTGTACACATGCTTTTCCTGTAAGTTGACGGCAGCAAAAGTGGCTCCCATATGATATGTACTTTTTCCAGGATGAAAACAACCTAATAAAGTACACTCAGTTTCATGTCATGTCATTTGTGATACTAAAAGACATCAACTAACCCTAGAAATCCATGGAAACAGATCCACCCCACCCCACTGCATGTGTTGGATACAGAGGAGGAAAAAGGGGGACAAAGGAAATAAGGCATAAAATATGGGATAACAAATGGTAACGTATTGTAGACACATGCAGACAAGAAGATTGATTACCTGGTCTATGCTAAATTTAGCTGACTCAAATTGTTTCATCTGATGCGTATTCTGAAATCCATCAGCACCATCTATAGCCTATAACGGTAAAGCACCAGGTCAGTAAGGCAAATGTCAGTAAGATATCACTAAATGATTCAAGAATTTTAATAACAATAGTACCTCTTTCAAATTATAAATAACAAGGTGAACTTGTCTCTGCAGTATTTCTTCTGCCAACAGCTGAAACCTTGGAGCCAAATCAACAAACACAGCATGCTCCTTAATGGAACTTGGAAAGTCTGTTCGATACTGAGAAAAGCATCCAAATGCATGATAAGCCAAGGAAAAAAACGAACATATAAAATTGAGAAGATTTACATTGTATGTTTGCCTTGACTTTTTCATTTGAGGCATTCCAGTTATGTTTTAAGCAAATACTACAAACTAATATTAAAAAAAAAAAAACTGATTTCTTGGATAACATAGTAAAGTACATAAATATTGCAAAATTATTCCATCCTTATCTATTCAAGGTATTTACCTCAAATGCAAACCCTAGTATCTCCTGGGAGAGATAAAGACAGTCATTATGCAGCAGAACAGCTACTTGATTAATGCCATTGAGCTGCCTCTCTAGCTTCACAAATCAAAAACAGAAGTTATTACTGTAAGATGAAAGTATATAAAGACAACAACTAAGACCCAAATACTTTGGTAACCTTGACAGGGATAACAGCTGCATAAAGAAGATAAATTCTCCACATAAGTATTGGATAAATTATAGGTTACAGAAAAAGATTAGGAAAGGTATACATATTAAAGGGAATTATTTATAATGATATTGAGGATAAACTTGCATTCCTTGAATAGAACCACCCATACATTTACTCCATGATGAAAGAAATACTAAAATGCAGTGTCACTGGTAAACATGGACTAACCTTGACAGGGACAACTACTTCATAAAGGAGTACAGCATCTCTAGCTGTGTGGTAAAATTCCCAAGCTACTCTTGTAGATGATAGGCAAACATCCTGGACAATTTTTCAATTGCAAAGATCAGCTTCACTATTAATAGAAAAAAATTCTTGTAGGTGAATAAATTGAAAATATTTAAGCGAATGTTTACTAAATTAAGAGTATTGGTACAGTTCAACAATCAAACAATTATCACTACAGTGTTAGTAAAATGTACGAATAAAAAAACAATACACTTTGATCAACATATTCACAAATAAAATCATTTTTAGCCTAGACAGTGTAACTTCAATGCTATATGACAACATCAACAATAGCCTTATCTCACTAGGTGAGTTTGGATATATAGATTACACAATGGCATTTAGCTTGGTTAAAAACTAAATCCATTTAACAATTTTTCTCAATATCTTTTTATAGTCTCTCTCCACCTATATCACAAGACTAAAATCTATGTTATCTATTCTCGTAATTGGTGCCTCCAGTGCCCTTCTTTGCATATGTCTAAACTACTTTAACCATTTCTCTGCCATCTTTTAGTCAGAAGTCAAACCAATATCTCCTTATTTATAATCATTCTGTATCTTCTCCTTTCCAGTGTGATCATATTCCTATTTTTGTTACTCCCACTTTTTATAGTTATCTCTTTTAAAACACTTAGAATATAGTTGGTCAGCAGCATGACAAAACTTCCCGTTGAGCTTGATAGGAATTTTCACCAATAAACCCAACCCTGATGTCTTTTTTCATTTTAACCACTACTTGAATCTCGAACTTGACATCTTTTAGTAATTTCTCCATCATTTCATCCTACATACTTAATCTTACAATCTCCATTTTAAGCACCAACCTTGTATAGTGTGACATCTTGAGTGATTTCCTCACCATTTTGTAATATTGCTCTCGTATACTTCATTTGAAACAGTGATATGACATCATCTATCCAACTTTACCTCCAATTTTTCTTTGTTTCCTACTAAAACTGCAATACATATACTCAGTCTTAATTTTACTCGAGCAAAAACACCCTTTAATACCATTTTTTTACTTCAAAGCTCAAGTTTAGAGTCAGCCTTTTCCTTTATTTCTTAATCAAATACTATATGATCTAGAAAAACACTTGTATTTGGGGGTAAAAAATTTTACATATGTAGTAAGTGGACTTGTGATATTTTAATATCCCTACTTTAGGGATCAATGAGCTGATCCAACCAGATAAAAATAATGTGCTATCATTTTCCCCCTCCTTTCTTCAACACCAATAAGTATCCAAGTATCCCTTTTTTTCTGTTCAGTAGCCACCATTCAATGTTATAATGGTTAAACCAACAACTGTAGTATTATGAATATAGAATAGGGTTTTTTTCTGAATTCCAACGTCACTGTATTCTCAAGTCAGAGAAGAAATTGCCAAAAGGACAGAAAATATCCGCATAACAGAAAAGAGAGAGAAAACAGATTCAACAACCTTCCCACTATCCAATAAAACCCATCCTATATAATTAATTGTTGTCACACACGAATCCCTTCAAACGTGAATTCGTTGTCCTTGTCCTGGTGCTCCTTCTGATTCCCACCTCCTTAGGATCACTTGCCACGTGTACTGACCCACTAACAATGGTTGTTTCCTTAATTGCCCTGTTGCTTCTTCATCTCTTACATTCAATTGGATTATTTTATATTTATATTTCACTCAACCATCATAATTTTCTCTGTTTTGAAAACTATATACAATATTCACATTACACATTAAATATAAATCATAGGTCAGTTAATGGGATTATCTATCGTTTAACCAATCAAATCAAATCTATATCTCCACGAATATTAGTTCTTTAAAGAACATAATCCCAAAGTGACTATGTCTAATCCAATTTCAAGCTACTGGAAGAACGCAATAAACCTCTGACTAAAGTAACTGATTAGAACATTTTTGCTGAAATCCAATTGTTCTGAAAATTTTCCACCATCACCCTTTACTATAAACGTTTCACAGGTGTTGGTTAGTGAGATGGGATCAACTCTAGATCCGTATTCTCTAAGTACTCTAAAACAGGTTAGAACTATGGGGGAAGGGGGGAGTTTATCGTTTTGTATACTTAGCCTTCAATTTATCAGCAGTATAACAAAAGGAGTAATTCTTACAGTTAGGCCACATTGAAAACGACCTCTATAGGAAATAACTCAATCATGGTAGAGCTGGTAAAAAACAGTGTAAATCTAGTCGTTGAAATAGTATATACAATTAACAGAAGTCCAGAATTTATATTTCAAATAAAATATGCTACGTAGAGTCATTAGATATTTTCATTATTCTGGAAGGTATACCTGCAGCGTCTGATGAATTAGCCCCATCAATTGTTTGGCCGCTTTGGATACGAGACACCTCTCTGATAAGAAAAGTAAATCTACCACATGGCTGGATGATTGGACAGATGTTTCATCATTCTTCCAAATAGAACCATCCCTGGTATACTCCTGCAGCAACATTCTTCATAAATAATTACAGATCAAAAGAGAAAAGAAGATTTTTCCCAGTCTGGAAACTCACTTGAGGAATTGAAAAGTCACATTCTAGAAGCAGATTTCTAGCTTTAGCCAAGATCTCCGTTTTTTTCTTTAATGCAAAGTGAACCTCAACATTTTCAGCAAAATTGCTCAGCCTGTTATCATTATCATCTGATGATGAAATGTACATAAACTCTTTCAAAGCCGCCTCAAATTCAAATGTGCGTATTATGATCTTCTGAAAGTCAGGAAGTTTTGATGCATCTGTTGGGACAACCTGAAATCAAATGTCTTGAGTGACTATCAGAAATTTATTAAAGACACACTTCCTCTTTCGCTTTCAGACACAACAGCGATCCACCAAATAATAATTCTATATAATAAGATACACAAGGATCGGAATAATCTCATTTTTGTTCATTCGGATGATAGGGATCATGCGCACTTGCATATTACAAGGCAATAGCAGCATTCAATCTAATTTCATTTGAAATCAATAAAATGGTATTTATATGGATACACATCCTTAGACTCATGCTTGGATATGGTCTCCAATCAATCAAGTTTCTAATAGCATAGGGCTGAAGAGCAAACCTTCGAGAGGAAGCTAGATATTATTAGCTCTGATATTCTTGGCCATGTCAGTCGTCCAAAACATCGCATCCAAGAACTTTTCTGGAGGCAAATAGTTCTGTAAATAAATTTGATAAACAGCACAATCCCTGAATAGAGAAACTCTCCGTCTAAATATTCAAACTGCAAAATGAAAATCAGATATTAGATACAGCAGTTAAATGACAATGCTTACAAATTTATGCAATTAAAATTCAACTAAAAAATTAAGAATGTTGTCCATGCATAAACCAATAAACCTCCCCTGCCACTGGCAGGGAATGGCAACGTGTGAGCAATACAATTCATTCTATGAACCAGTTAAGAGAGTAAAGAGAATGAAAAGAAGATTTCTAATTTTGTGGGATGCTTACTCCACTCTATGATCTCATATATATATATATAGGATTACAACATTTAAAACAACAACTACCAACTACTAACAACCACCAACTACTAACTACTAACTACTAACCACTAACCACTAACCACTAACTAATAATAATTCTAACACTCCCCCTCAAGCTGGAGCATACAAATTGTATGTACCAAGCTTGGAACAAATAAATTTAATTCGAGGTCCTCTTAAAGACTTTGTCAACACATCTGCAAGTTGATCATTGGACCCGACAAATTCAGTGCAAATTTCTTTAGACAACAATTTTTCACGAATAAAATGACAATCAAGTTCTATATGTTTGGTCCTTTCATGGAACACCGGATTAGAGGCAATGTGGAGAACTGTTTTATTGTCACAATACATCTTCATCTGTTGGATCTCACAAAATTTCAGTTCTTGAAGGAATTGTTTCACCCACACTAGTTCACAAGTGAGAGATGTCATTGCTCTATATTCAGCTTCAGCACTAAACCGGGCCACTACATTTTGTTTCTTACTTTTCCAAGAAATAATATTACCTCCAATGAGAACACAATATCCTGTAGTGGAGCGTCTGTCCATAGGGGATCCAGCCCAATCAGCATCACAATACCCAGATATTTGGGTACCCCCTTTATCTTCATACAACAGACCTTGTCCTGGAGCTTTTTTGAGATATTTTAGGATGTGAACGACAACATTCCAATGATCAGTACGCGAATTTTGCATAAATTGACTCACAACTCCAACGGCAAAAGATAGGTTAGGTCTGGTAATGGTGAGATAAATGAGTTTCCCAACAAGTCTTCTATATCTCTCAGGATCAGAGAGCGGTTCACCTTGATCCGCCATTAATTTCTGATTTGGATTCATAGGGTCATGTTTACTGGTCTACAATCAATCATGCCTGTTTCTTTCAGGATATCTAAAACATACTTTCTTTAGGAGACTACGATGCCTTCTTTTGATTGAGCCACTTCAATCCCTAGAAAGTATTTGAGACAACCAAGATCCTTAGTTTGGAAGTGATTGCATAAATGTTTTTTTAGCAAAGAAATTTTATCAACATCATCCCCTGTAATGACTATATCATCTACATATACAATTAAATAAACACATTTTCCTGAAGCAATATAATAAAAAACAGAATGATCTGCTTCACTTCGTTTTAATCTAAAACTTTGAACAATGTGACTAAACTTTCCAAACCAAGCACGTGGAGATTGTTTGAGAACATAGAGAGAACAATGTAACTTACAAACCAAACTAGACTCTCCCTGAGCAACAAAACCAGGAGGTTGCTCCATATAAATTTCCTCCTCAAGATCACCATGCAAGAACGCATTCTTGATATCTAACTGATGAAGAGGCCAATGACGGATAGCTGCCATAGCAAAGAAAAGTCGAACAGTAGTCATTTTGGCCATAGGAGAAAAAGTATCATTGTAGTCAAAGCCATAGATCTGAGTATAGCTTTTTGCTACTAATCTAGCTTTGAGTCGATCAACTTCACCTTTTGGTCCAACTTTAATGGTATAGACCCAACGACAACCAACAGTCTTCTTCCCATGTGGAAGAGGAATTAAGTTCCATGTACCATTGTGCTCAAGAGCCTGCATTTCATCAATCATGGCTTGTCGCCATATAAGATGATCAAGTGCCTCTTTCACATTTTTTGGAATAGTAATAGTGGATACAGAAGAAACAAAAGAAAAATAGGAAGGAGACAATCTATGGTAGCTAAGAAAATTGTAAATGGGATGTGGATTACGAGTAGAGCGAGTACCTTTGCGAATGGCAATGGGCCAACTTGAGTCATCATTATCAGGAATCATGGTATCAGGGGATGATTGAGAAGGATCTGCTGAGGAAGACTCATCTTGGGACATGGGACTGATCATTTGGCTCCTGTGTTGATAGGTAATAAGAGGCAGTGATGAGGATTCCAGTGTATTTTGTGTGGAATTTTGGGTGTCAGGAGGAGGAGGAGGTACAAATGGCTCCACTAAGGGTATAGGTAGGACATGTTGGACCGAACTAATATCCTGCATAGAAGAAGGGAAGAAGGGAGTTGACTCAAAAAAAGTGACATTAGCAGACATGTAGTACCTCTTGGTTTCAGGAGAATAACATCGATATCCTTTTTGAAGACGAGAATATCCCAAGAAGACACATTTGATAGCTCTAGCTGATAGTTTATCTAATCCTGGAGACATATCATGAACAAAACATACGCAACCAAATACACGAGGAGAAACATGAAAGAGCCTTTGGCAATAGAATAGAGTGTGGAGCTTTATTGTTAAGAGAAGAAGATGGCATTCTGTTAATGAGAAAACATGAAGTAAGAATAGCATCTCCCCAATGATGAACGGGCATATTTCCACCAAGTAATAAGGTACGAGCAGTTTCAACCAAATGTCTATTTTTTCGTTCTGCTATACCATTTTGTTGTGGTGTGTGAGGACAAGTACACGGGTGTAAAATGCCTTGGGAGCTTAAGAGAGTAGAGAAATCAGTAGAAAAGTATTCTTTGACATTATCACTTCGTAAAACTTTGATTACTTTTCCAAATTGATTTTTGATTTCGTTAAGGAAAGACTTAAAGATAGGTAATAATTCAGAACGGTCTTTCATTAGATAAATCCAAGTACACCTAGAAAACTCATCAATGAAGGTAACAAAATATCTATAGCCAAAGGATGAGACACGACTAGAACCCCAAATATCAGAATGAACAAGAGAAAAGACAGAGTCACATCTAGATTCAGAACGTTTAGGAAAAGAGGACCTAGTATGTTTCCCTAGTTGACATGATTCACATTCAAAATCTTGAAGAGTCTGAAGTTCAGGAACCATTTTTTTTAATCTTGATAAATGAGGGTGCCCTAACCGTTCATGTAATAGTTTTGGAGATAAGGATGCAACACAAGATACAGATGATTTAGTCCCAAGGTAGTATAAGCCTCCAGATTCATGTCCTTCGCCAATCTGTCGACCCGTACCATGTTCCTGTATAACAAAAGAGTTGGCATTAAAGGTTACTGAACAATTCAATAATTTGGTTAATTGACTTAGGGAAATGAGACTCGAAGGGACATGAAGGAACAAAAAGAACAGATTTTAAGTTTAAAGACGGAGAAATGGAGACTTGACCAGTTCCTTTAGAGGTTACTTTAGATCCGTTGGCTAAGGTTATGAGATGAGGAGTTTTAGGAAATGAGAGAGAAGAGAACAAAGAGGTATTACCGGACATGTGATCGAAGCACCCGAGTCAATAATCCATGGATTTTGACTTTCCACAGATTGTGAAATGCAAGTCGTTGATGAATTTGCGATTGTTGATGACTCGTGCTAGATTACTCGGATTTCAACCTCAAATATTCCCGATATTCTTCGTGAGAGAACTTGGGTTCAACCATTTCGATTTGGAAAAATTGACGGCTTTATCGGAAAACCGTACAAAGAGTAGCAATTTTCCACCTGTATGACCCATTCTCTTGCAATGAGTGCACTGAGAACGTCCTCTACCTCCACGTCCTCCTCTAGTGCCGCGACTTCCTCTTCCATGGGTAGAAATCATAGCAGAAGATTCAACAAGTTCTTGATTTTTTTTTTTCTTTGAGAGTTGGAACACGAAGCAGTCTTGTAGTCAAACTTTCCATAGAAGGAACTTCTTGTCCAGTTAAAATTTGATCTCTAACATGATCAAATTCTGAATTCATAGCTCGAAGAGTCATAACCATATAGAATTTATCCAACTTTTGCTTTATCTCCTCTAACGAATCCACCTCTAGGAACATCTTTAATTCTTCAACTGCTGATTGAGCTTCAGCAATAAAGGTCATCATATCTTTATCCACTTGCTTGATAGAGGCTAATCGATTAGCGGAATCATAGAGACGTTGGATATCATTTGCGAAGATATTCTGAGTTTTTTTCCAGAAAGAGTTACATGTTTTGAAGGATCTGAAAGTGTTCAAAATATTTGGTTCTACTGATTGCCACAGTAGAGCACAAAGTTGATAATCAAACTTTTTCCATTGTTGAGCCTGATCTTCTGGTATGTTACTTCCGTCTTCTTCTAGATGATCGTGAAACCCTTGTCCAAGGAACCAAAGTTCCACTGAAGAGGACCAAGACATGTAATTTTTTCCATTTAATTTCTCAGTCATTATCATGGGAGTTCCGGAAAAGGAGGTTGTGGTCCCTGACGACATGTTTTAAATAATGTAGATGTAAGATGGAGACAATGGAACCTGTAAGAAAGAAAACACCCAAGATAGCCGAAAGGTTACTGGAAGGTGGTCGGAAAGTCGTCGAACGGTAGCAAAAAAAAAGGTGACTGGACGGGGGACTGACGGTTGCCGAAAAGTGACCGGAAAGTGGCTGGACGGTGGCCGGAAAGTGGTCGGACAGTGATCGGGGAAATGATCGGACGGTGATCGGAAAATGATCGGACGGTGACCGGAAAATGGTCAGACGATGACTGGAAAATGGTCGGACAGTGACCGGAAAATGGCCAGACGGTGACTGGAAATGGTCGGACGGTGGCCGGATGGTGGTTGGACGGTAGCCGGATAGTAGCCGGACAGGCAAAGCAGGACCAATCTGCTCTGATACCAAGTTAAGAGAGTAAAGAGAATGAAAAAAAGATTTCTAATTTTGTGGGATGCTTACTCCACTCTATGATCTCATATATATATATATATATATATATATATATATAGGATTACAACATTTAAAACAACAACTACCAACTACTAATAACCACCAACCACCAACTACTAACTACTAACCACTAACCACTAACCACTAACCACTAACTAATAATAATTCTAACAAAACCAAACACATAACACTCACCTTAACATCTGGTGATGAAACTATCTTCAGGACAGCCGATTCTTGATGCAATTCCTCTAGAAATGAAACAGGTCGTCCATGATTTACAAAAGGAGTAATAACATACTTGATCATCATATCAGCAACTTTAGCAAGCCCATACTCTAGAATACCAACAACCTAAAAGTCACATAAATTAGAGGAAGAACAAATAAATGCAACTGAAAATTACAATGGTATGATAGGAACACAATAGAACATCCCAAAAAGAGAGTTAAAATTATAATGAATTAACTTACATCCATTGCCTCCAGAACTGTTTGTAACTGAATCCCATTCACATTGTCAACTTCTAAATGATACTTGACTTCAACTTGATTCAAGTCCCCATCAAATCGTACAGCTTTTTCCATATATTTCACAAGGACCTCTTGAATCTACAAACCCAAATCGAATTCCTCTAAAAACAATGACAAACTCAATAAAAATCACAAACAATCCAACCATCATTAATGTGGCACAAATCACACAAATTGATTATATTGTCAAATATATCAACGAAAATATAACTCAGCTACCATCTTTAAAACAAACATGAGCTTGCCATCTGGGAAAAATGCATTGAGTATTGCCTACACTGTTTATCATCATCATAATATTATTGCCATCATTTTGTTCAGTTGAAATTTTTCCTAGTAACATAAACTTGGCATAGCTCAAACTACTTAACTGAATTTCCAGACAAATGGTACTATTCTGCATTTTGTTTCCATATGGAACAAACAGTGTATAAAGCCACGAAATCTTGTATTTTCTTTTATCGCACATTCCACTGCTAACCCTTATGTCCATTATTTTCACACTAAATTGGCAATGCAATTCAAATCACCTCTTACAAAAACCCAATTCACTTTCCACGTTCTGAAAGGCATCAATACAATTGGCACACACAAATACATTCAAAGCGACAGATTGACGCACTAACACATAAGCTTAAACCTAATGCACAAAACCAAGCTACAAAAATTTAAAACGAGAAAGCAGAGTAGTACCTCTTCGAAGCACTGAGACCACTCCTTCCTCAACAAGCCATACACCAAAGGCTCCTTATCCTCCTCATCTCCAATCCTCAACGCCACTTTCAATTCCTTCAACCCTTGCGCAGCGAATTTGAACCTTCCACTCCTCAACGCTTCCTTCACACTCTCCAACCTATGGTTCAAAGCCACAACGGTTCCAACCAACCCTAGCAGTTCCTTCTTCACCTTTAACTCCTCTTTCTTCGCCTTCATCTCCGACACAACCTCGCGCACCTCGGCATCGATCGGTCGGTCGGAGAGGAGACGGAGGATGGCGGCGACGTCGTCGGAAACCTCGTGTGTCTGAGAAACGGCATCATTGCAGAGGGAAAAGAGGCGCGCGAAATCGTCATGATGCGAGACGAGGTAGGACTGGACCTGCGAGCGGATCTGGAGGGACTGCGACTCGAGGCGCTGAATCAGGAGCCGCAGATCGGGCGCCGAGAGAGGGGAGGTCGGGTCCGAGAGGTCCTGTGCCGAGAGAAGTTCGCGAACGTTGATCGCGTCGAACAGAGACTCCATCGACGGCGATCGTGCAGTGCTGAATACGGCGGAGACTGGTAACGTGCGCTAGGAGTGTGGGTTTGTGTGGAAGTGCTGGCGTGATCAGAGTTTGGACTTGATGGACTTTTACAATTTTTGTCCAATGAATTAATTTTATGTTAAACAATTAATTATTGAGTCTAAATTTTAAAGAAATTTAAATAATTTTTGCGATGAAGAAAAAGAATTATAAAAAAGTTCTAATATTAACTTGTTTTTAGAATAAAAACACTTAAACGTAAATTACTTCACTTTAAAATTAATTTTAATCAAATTCAATTTTATTTTATTTTATTTGAAATCAACTTTATAAACAGTTGTTGAACACTCGTTGATTGACATTTTGTATCTAGTATCAAAGTTCAAAACAAAATTTTAACTTATGATTACGGTAAAAAATTGCCATTTTATTAATATTTCGAAAAATTGTAGACAAATGTAGTCTATGAAACACATTTATAGTTGTAAACATCTCAAAATCTTTGATGTTATAGTTAAAATTATGGTCATTTTTTAAAACCTTAGCATGAAAATAAAACACAAAATTGATCTTGTCTCTTAAAATACATGTGTTTGACAAAGGAATGGATAGTCGTGATTGTTTTGCTTTGTATATTCTCCACAAAATAAAGAAAAAGTTTATTTATTGATAAATAAGTTTGATTCTATCTCCTAATCTCATTTTCAAATGATAAAGAATAATTTTGTCAATTTAATAAAAACTTATATATATTTTTTCACGATAACAACATTTAAACATAAATTACTTTGTTTCGTCTACAATATTAACCAAAAACAAGTATTCACAATCTATTTTCCAAAATACTCATTTATTGTGAATTTTATTTTGCAATGATTAAAAAAAACCTAAATTTCCATGTTTTTTCATCACACCGAAAACTAACATTAAAACCATCATATTTTTGAGAAATGTGAGAAAAAACATACACTTCTAATGACATTGTCGTGTGTAACAAGTCCTATATTGGGGCGTCTCCTTACCGGGAGGTTTTATAAGGCTGGAGGTCTTATAAGACTGGAGGTTCTTTAATCTCTTGAATTAGCTTTTGAGGGATGATTCTCCTCCTTAACCTTATGGTTGTTACATTGGTTATTTAATCTCTTGAATTACCTTTTGAGGGATGATTCTTTAATCTCTTAAAAAATTACTTTAAGATTATTAAAATACAAAATTACATCATCCAATTCTAAAAAAAAAAAATCAAAGTTTTCTTTCTGTTTTTTTTTTCTCAATTTAAATATCTAACATTTTTTTATATTTTCCAAATTAATATTAAAATAATTATTGATTATCAAATGTACTCTCTCCCACTTTATTTATCTAAATAGACTTGGTTAACGTGTAAGATGAGAATTTGATTATTAGGAAATCGAATTTTGAATAAAAATTGTGTTTTATTTTTTTCTTGCATGTGTTTATTTATGTATATTTATATGATTATGGAGATCGCGACAAAAATTATTAAGATCAATTACTATTGTTCAGTTTGGGTGTGAAATTAAAAAATAATTCACAAAGATAAAAATTGATATTCATGTTACCCAAATAATTAAACATTAGAAAGGAAAAAAACATAATCTCTACGAGTTAATCGTATTACATGAATAAATATAGGAAAAAATTGAATTGTTTGATAAAGGTAATAAGATGATTTATCACTTAAAAAATAATACATATGTTAACAAATAAGAGATAATAAGATTTATATTTATCTTGTTATTTACCGAGATGATTCTTCAATTACAATTTATCTTATATTATTTCTAATTTAGTTGAGTTTTTTTATTAATATGTATTGATTCAATTATACATTAACGTATGATCAATATAAATATTTAGAAAATATAAAAATATAAATATATATTAATTAAATATAAAAATATATGACTATATATTTATAAAATATGTATAAATATATAATTATATAAATATTATTTATTAAATATTTTATTATATAATATTTATTAATTGTATACAATATTAAAATATATAAATATGTATTATATATATATATATATATATATATATATATATGTTGAATATAGAGGAAATAGGGTTTGAAATTAATCTCCTCGTGTATAAATCACACATAGGGTAATCTATTTATAATAGAGAGGTACAACTAAAAGAGTAACCGAAAGTAAACAGAATAAATAGAAGATATTGTTTGATATTGTGGTTAACAATATCTTAACAATATCAAACTGTATCTAAACAATATCTAACACTCCCCCTAATATTAAACTGTATCTAAACAATATATAACACTCCCCCTCAAGTTGGAGCATACAAATCGTATGTGTCAAGCTTGTTACAAATATAATTAATTATAGGCCCCCATAAAGACTTGGTGAAAATATCTGCTAACTGATCACTTTAGTTAACAAACTTAGTCTTGATATCTCCCGAAATAATCTTTTCTCGAATGAAATGACAGTCAATTTCAATGTGTTTGGTCCTCTCATGAAAGACAGGATTAGAACTAATATGAAAAGCAACCTGATTGTCACACACAAGTGTCATTTGAGTGACATCTCCAAATTGTAACTCTCTAAGCAATTGCCTGAGCCAAACAAGTTCACAGGCAGCTGAGGCCATAACTCTATATTCTGCTTCTGCACTGGATCTTGCCACAACACTTTGTTTCTTACTTTTCCATGAGATCAAGTTACCACCAATGGAGACACAATATCCAGATGTAGATCTTCTATCCGAAGGAGATCTTGCCCAATCAGCATCTGAGTAGCAAACAACTCTTGTATGGTTATTAAAACCATATAACAATCCCTTTCCAGGAGATCCTTTAATATACTTCAAGATATGAATGACAACATTCCAATGATCTTCACATGTGAATTAAGAAATTGACTTACCACACTGACTGCAAAGGAAATGTCAGGACGAGTAACTGTAAGATAATTCAATTTTCCAACCAATCTTCTATACTGCTCAGGATCAAATATAGGTTCCCCCTGATTTGGTAAAAGTTTAGTATTAGGATCCATGGGTTATCAACAGATTTTGAACTCATCAATCCAGTTTCCTCCAAAATATCTATGACATACTTCCTTTGAGATGTAACAATACCATCATTGGACTGTGTCACCTCAATACCCAATAAATATCTAAGTTTGCCAAGATCTTTGGTCTGAAAACGGTGACAGATGTTAGAATCGCGCAGCGGAATGTTCGCGTGGTCGGACAAAAACCAAGAGGGGGGGGTGAATTGGTTTCTTAATAAAAATTAGGTTTTCAAAATTTCCCCAAATTTTACCGATTAAAAACTGCGTAATTGTAAATAGAGAAGAGTAGAGAAGATTACACAAGTAGGTTTATACTTGGTTCGGATCAAAAGACCCTACGTCCAGTTGCTAATCACTCAAAAGAGGATTAACGCATGTCACTAAGAACAAAGTTGTTACAACACAAATTATAATGAAAAAGATAAAGTTAAAGATAAAACCTCTCTTGAAATCCACAAGAGATGATAAACAGCTTTTCCCTGGAGACTCAGACAACGACACAATCCACTAAGAACTCCACTTAGTGATTCT